GACCGAAAACTATCCATCCAATAGCCAGTGGAAATTTTTGGAAACCAGACCAAAGCCAAAGCCAGAGAATAGAGCCCGGACCAGACCATAAAAAATTGCCAATTCGTAATCCGAAGAGAAGCGAAAACGCCCCGCACGCGCGTGTGTCCCCAGCTGTCTAAAGTTGTTTATGATAATGGCCCACGACGGCGACGTATCTGAGCGAAATGTGTTTTCTTTTTTTTTTTCGACAAAAAAAGCTAAAAAAAAATCTAAAAAATAATACTAAAGCAGAAGCAGGGCAAGCAGGCGATTCCGAATATTATTGTATTATTCGTCAAGTCGCACCCCAAAGCGTACCCCCAGAGTCGTCCACCAAATCTATAAAAGATTATTTCGTAGTTTCTTTTGCCAGTTGATTTGTTTACAACTTATTTTCTTTTTTTGGCTGAGTTTCGGTTTTTTTTGCTGATGAAATGAATTGAAACGAAACAAGACAACTTATCTCAAAGGCTATAAAAAAAATCGAAAATCAAAAAAAAAAGTAAAATCCAATGAAAATAGAAATAGAAATGGAAAACAAAACAAAGGAAAATGCGTCAATCGAGCGGATGAATTTGTTTTTTTTTTTTTCTCTCATCTACTTTTTGGGGAAAGGTGCGCCTGCCTTGGATGATTGATGGCCTGATTGATTGGTAATTATCAAAGGTGCCAACACTTGCAACAGGTTAATGCCCCGCATCCTCTCCCTTGATTATATTCATAGATACTATCTTACATCTAATGTCAATTGTCAAATGTACTAAAAGGTAATAGTATCTAAGAAAAAGTACTATTATACGATGCCGTTTAGTGGGGAATTTATCATCGAGTGGGTTAAGGTATACCTTTAAAAGATTGGTTAAGAACAAGCAAAGATACATATAGGCATAGTGAGGCATAGTGATAAAAATCCAGAATTTTTAAAGGGAGTTTCTTAAGGAAAAATTAAAAAAAAAAAAAATTAATACAAAACATTTATTTATAGATTTTGATGCAGAATGACGGAGAATCAATCTAGAAATCGTTTAAGGTATTCCACTCAAGGATCGGATGAGAATTAGCAAAGATATAGACTTTAGAAGAGGCCACTTTAAGAATCCTGCAAGGGGTTCCATCAGAAAAATTGAAAAAATATCGATCGAAAATTTTGTATCGAGGTTTTGATTCAGAATGACGGAGAATCGATCTAGAAATCGTTTAGGGTATTCCACTTAAGGATCGGATGAGAATTAGCAAAGATATATACATTCGAAGGGACCACTTTATGAATCCTGGTCTTGAAAAGGGGTTATAGGCAGAGATAGACAAGCTCTAGACTATTTATAAACCTTTTTTGCTATTTTAAGACTAAGGTATTTAAATAAAATATTATTTTTAATGAGAATGGGTATAGATGTCAAGTCCTAGCCCTGGTCACAGTTTGATTTGTTTGTTTTTCGTTTGGTTCTCCCATCAGTCTCCCCAGCAGGCAAGTCGAATTGAAATGCCTTGCATTTGAAAAAAAAACAGACATAGATATGGGGGAATGGGGTGGTATGGGGTGGGGTAGCAGACCCTAAGTAGATCCATTAGACACATCAAGTGTCGAGCCACCAGCTTATTTAATGCCGGGGCAATCAATTACACCACCACACCACAGAAAACCAAACCATATAGCCCGCACGACCCGCACAACAACAAATTAATTATGCAGCAATGTGCAAAATGCGAAAAATTATTACATTACACATTAGAGAGAAGTCAGAGCTCCATAGATTGTTGTTTTGTTTAATGGGAATCGTTCTGGTTGCATAAGCCTTTCGGGGGATCTGCATTGCCAGACAACTATGATATGAATTTCAATGGTTTCAGGCCAGACAGACGCAACTCAAGTGCGCAACAGTTTTATGATTAGAGCTGAAAGCTTCAACAGCCATCATTATTAGCTCTACAGCATAGCCACTTGTATTAAAACCTCTATAGCTCTAGTACTTCCTATCTGTGATTGCAAGATCATAAACCCTCAATTTATGGCCCCACTTATGGTCGTATAATGTGATGCTATTTCATTAAGAAACTAGTAACTTTCAGGATCTTTAAGATCATTTCAGACAGTTAAACCGATTTATATTGATTTCCGATATGCCAACAACGTGCTGCTGAAATACGTGCTTCTTGGCTCATCCGACAAGAACACGCCATGTTTTATTTATTGTTATTTTTTGTTTTTTTGTGTTGGCCAACAGAAGACGCGATTACAATTAATCAAATGCCAGTCTGGCCATAAAATAAACGCTCATACGTCAAAGTCGAACGTAAACGGTTATTTAATTGGGCAACTGGCACTGTTGATTCCAGCTACCGGCTACTAGGTGGCGCCACAGCATAATTAGCAGGACAGCAGTACAGACATTTAATTTCAATTAAGAAACCAACTGATAATTCGAACTGTGAGACAGTGGCAGTTGTTGGGTTTAATTAAGCAACTGACGACAGACGGATGGCTATTGCCTTCAATTGCCAGAAGAGTCATTGACACTTGGGGAGGCTATAAGAGATCTGCCAGCCAAGTTGGAGGCTATCCAGGATGTTCCTAGCCACTCCATCCGCCAGCTGATAAAGCCAGACCAGGGCCTAGCCAGTTGGGTCATAAAAACTGCAAATAATTATATATTTTTTAAAAATGATCGAAAGCTGGAATGCCCTAAAGATAGAACCTCCATATCTAACAACCTACTTTCTTATCACAATCAATCGTTGCTTTTATTTTAATCAGAATGGAAAAATAACCTTATCTTAATTGCCTCAAAAGATAAAATCATAAATCTAATCTGTTAATTCAAGAAGTCTAGAATTCTAGAATATTTTCACCAAATACCAAATCCAGTATACCCTGTAGAGATCAGAGTACAGGGTACTGGGTTAGTCAAGCAAGAACAACAAACCAATAAACCGAGCAAATAGGCCCTCTAGTCCATAAATATATTTATGCGTTTGAAACGGCCAGCAAAACAGCAAAACAAGCCGCCAAATGCCAAAACACTTGTCAACAATGCATTTGCATTGTCATCTCTTACTGTTTAGTGTATTATTGTCACAAATACTCCTTCTCGACTCTTGGTTACATTCATTTAATTATTGTCGCCGGACGACGACGACGGCAGGGGCTGATTAGATATTACCGCACCGCTCCGGGCGGTAAACAAGTTTTGGAATTTGCATTGAAAACAATATACATATATTTTTGTGAGTGGGGAGTGGGTGTGACTCTAACGAAAACATATTGTTATTTTTGTTCTTTGTTCCAAATGGACGAAACGAAAAAAATAAATTCATAAAAATGCCGGAAATTGCCAAAGTCTGCAGAAGCTTAGATAATAATATTGTAATGGACTTTATGCATTCAATTCCACCTGATGATGGTTGTGGATGGAGGGGGGTCTGTATACAGTAGCTATACCCCAAGCCAAAACACATACATTCTAGTAGCGGGAAGTGTTATTGTTGTAGGATATCCACTGTACCGATGATGCCATGCAATCCAGGAGCTCATGAAGTGTTTAGCTGACGGCGGGCAACATTGTCATTTGATTTCAGTTGACGTTTGCATTTCGTACGTTAATTCAATTTAATTCTGTTTATCTACATACGTGTGTGTCTGTGTAGGTATGTATGTTTGGCTGTGCACTTGTGTCCAGTGTCCAGTGTCCCACTACCTCCTACCCCCCACCTTTTCTGCTGTGGCTAGTTTACCATCACCGTCACAAAGTTATATGAATACGAGTGTCAAATTTAGCCGAGCACGTCTATAAAAAGTGTTTTTCGCTCCTGTGTCAGGCCCCAAACACGTGCTGCCATCCAAAACATGCCGGAATTGTGGAAAATGTGGGGGAATTTATAAATTAAGAGTGTGAGAGGTGTAGAGGGAGGCTAGTGATGTACTTTTATTGATGTTATGTTTGCCATCATGTTATGACATCCAACAATGTCGTGTTGTCGGGGTCACCAAATGGGTTTCTTTCTTCCTTCTCTCACTTTGCATTCTAAGATCTATATCCTTATTCAGACCTTATTTACTATAGATCTCCGAAAGTCATCCACATACTATAGGTATAAGAGAGCGGAATAGAGAAGGGCTAGGGATAATGATGAAATTATGACATCTAACAATGTCGTGTTGTCGGGGTCACCATTTCGGGTTTCCTCTTCTTTCTCCTTCTATATAGATTTTATCCACTATAGATCTCCGAAAGTCATCCACACATTATAGATCTTAGAGAGCGGTATAAAGGAGGCTAGGGATATACTTTTATTGATGTTATGTGTATGACATCTAACAACGTTACGTTGTCGGGGTCACCACTTGGGTGGTGTTCATCCTTCTCTCTTTGCATTCTAAGATCTATATAGACCTCATCCACTATAGATCTCCGAAAGTCATCCACACAGATCCACATCTATAGATCTAAGAGAGCGATTTAAAGAGGGCTAAAGATATACTTTTATTGATGTTATGTTTAACAACGTCGTGTTGTCGGGGTCACCACTTGGGTGGTGTTCCTCCTTCTCTCTTTGCATTCTAAGATCTATATAGACCTCATCCACTATAGATCTCCCAAAATGTCATCATGACTTGTTCGATAACTCAAGTAGTCTGGCAGAACAGCATTCTGCCATTGCACTAATTGTTTATTGCTCCCATGTTCATCATGGGCCTCTTGTTCGCCGATAACTCGGAATCGTATCGGGTGCAGCACTCGAAACGAACATAATTGACAAATTTGCACTTGAACTACTGTGTGGCGGGGTTGTTGACTCGCCGGCGAGTGTCGAGTCGAGCAAGAAAGGGGCCTGCACCGATATTTATGGAGGAAATTGGTAATCCCCATTATCAGGCATTGACTGGGCCGTGGGGAAAGGCTTATCAGGATTGATTACCTTTGGTAATCCATTCACTATGAAAGGTTAATAACATTCTATATCTTCTTCTCTCTTGTCAGGCCTCTGAACCCATCCAGGACCTCTCGGTGGTCGCCATCAACCAGCGGGAACTGCTCTATGGCCTCACCCTCGACGCCGCCGGCCACAGCTGGCAACTCAGCCTGTGCCTCAACTGCAAGGAGGTTCTGTGCGCCAAGAGATTGACGGCCGGGACGGGCACACCCACAGTCTACCTCATCAACTCCACGCTGCTGACCAACAGCGAGGAGCTGGCCCAGCGCAAGTCCAAAGCTTGTTACTCGGAAACCTTCGGGATCTTGATCATGGACGGTGTGGACAGCGATTCTGTGCCAGCGGGACCAACGAACGGAATAGCGGCGTCCGCCTCCAACCTGAGCATAGGCTCGTTGTCGGCGAATCCGAGGGACGCCAAAATGCAGAGGATTCGGATGCTGGAGGCTTACCAACAGGCGCGGCTGCAGGAGGAGATCGCGGATACGAACGCGCGCATCGAACGGTATACCCGCAACCAGTTCCAGCTGCTCAACAGCTTCCGGGAGAAATCGGACCAGGACTGTGACATGCTGCTGCGCCTGATCCGCCGGCTGCCCGAGCAGGCCTCGGAGCTGCTGGACCACGGCATGCCGCCCGCACTGGAGGTGGCCGGCAACCAGCCGCAGAGTGCCACTGCCCGGCGCAGGAACACCATCAGCAGCAGGCGGGAGTTGTCCGGCCCCACCACGCCCACCACCACCCTCAACCATCCTCCCAGCTTCCTGACGCTCAACCAGAAGCCCATGCAGCAGCAGCAGCAGCAACAGCCACAACCACAGCAACCTCTGCCCAGTGCCTCGGTGACGAGGAGGCTGTCGCAATTTGACACGCCGCCCGCCACCCCCGAATCCACGCCCATGAGCGTCGGCAACAGCCCCACTTTCCGCCAGCAGCAGACAGTGGCCGGAGGTGCCCCCACCCAGATGCTGGTCACCCCGGGGTCGGTTGTGAGTCAGTCGGCCCATGACGCCGACGATGCCGATGACTGTCAGTTCGATCTGGAGGATGTGGAGTACGAGCCGACTCCGACGGCCCAGTCTGTGCCCGTTCCCAGCTACCAGCGCAACCTCATCTACCAGCAGGTGCTTCCAGAGGAGAACAGCATGAGCAACGACCTGGACGAGGACATCGAGGCAGCTGACGAGGCAGAAGGTAAGACGAGGCGGTGGATCTGGTAGATTTTCAAAGAAAGGTTCTTACCCAGTATATTTCTGCCCCTTTAGATGCCCTGTTGGAGACCTCGATCTCGATTCCTGGGCGACCGCGTCACACCCAGTCCCAGCTGATGAACTTTGCCAGGAGTCTGCCCATCGAGATAGCCAACACTCCGCTCGCCGAGCGAGCTGCAGCCGCCAACAACAATAACTTTGTGTTGGGATGCGAGGAGGTGAGATTCCTAGACTAAGATGCCTTAGATTCCTGACTAACTCTTTGGTTATATCCCACAGGGCATGGACAACATCGACATAGCGGCCAGCATTCAGGCACTGACCAAGAGTGTCCATGGCGAGGCGGTGTTTGGGGACCTGCCCCGACCACGTCTGCGATCTCAGATCGAGGGCTAGCCGATTGAGGGCTTGAGAGGAGAGAAGTTGGAGTCACCACTACGTACACATATTATATATATGTATATCAGCTCGTAATCTGAATAATTTGTTAGACCGCCTTGATAAGTTTCTATCTAAAACGCTATCTAAACTAAAATTAGTTGCTCAACGAAGCCCAGGATCCAAGAGGAGCTCCTGGCACACAAAACCCATACACCGCATACCGCATACCGTATAATCCACACTCGCGCATCTACCACACATGGAATCACATAAGCACCACCTACCACCTACCAACTAAAACTAGTACCAACTAAGCAGACAGGTTGCAATTTCTTTAATTATACACATACACATATACATATATATATATATCGGCTATAAGTTTTATTTCAAGTTTTTTTCGGATGATCTTCGATTGGAAATGTCTGTATTTTCTTCGTACGACGAGTGTACCGGCTGTCGTTGGCTGTTGCACATTGAGTTAACTAACTGATACTGATACTGATGATGTTGTTAGTTTATACAATGAATAATTTAGAATACATATACGATACATAATATATATATTATATAAACCATAAACCATAAACCATAAACCATAAAGAACGCCATCAGCTCTAGCTGTGACGCAAGCAAAGGACGCACCACAAAAGCGTCCCATTTAAAGTAATTTGTTTGTTTTTTTTATTACCGGAACATATTCTCTTTCAGAGGAAGATATGATACAGATGATCCTATAGATGATATTACCCAAAGAAATGGAAAAGACCAGATTACTTAACAAAATACTTTGTTGTGACTTCGCTTGGTTTACAAAACTAAGAACTAAGAACTGAATTACAATTCGTAACATAAATTACAACAGTTTACATCTAAAGCTTTACATCTTAAGCGCCTGGGGGGTGCCTAGAAGACGCTCGCCAGTCGCTCGATCTCCAGCAGATCGGACAGGATCTCCTCCGTCCGCGTGCCTATCTTCTTGGCCACCTCGTTGCGCTCCGAGTTGGCTAGCAGCCGGTAGGACCAGATCAGGTCACCGTCTATGATGCAGCGCGAGGGATTGATTCCTTGCTTCTTGACCGCCTTAATGGTGCGATACTCCTTGGGGTTGAGGCCGCACAGGTGCTCCTGGTAGGACAGGAGGACGTTCTGCAACATGAGGAACCGTCGGTAGAGCTTCTCTGGCAGCGGAAGGCAATATCCTAGCGCCCCATCCAGAGTTCCGTACACAACAAAATGCTTGTTCTCATACAGGAAGGGGTGGCGCTGGTGCTGGCCCTTTTGGTGGCACTGCACCCGGAACATGGTGTTCACCACCTGTCCCAGGTGGTAGTCCGCCTTTCGAAGGAGCTTCTGACCGCCCAGCGACTCCCTGGCCTCGGGCTGGTACATGTAGACAATCAGATTCCGCTCGGCATCGGTCACCAGGAAGCCCAGGTTGGAGTTGTCCACCATGAACTCGATGCCATAGACCTCAAGGGGATTAAAGTCGCGCGAGGCCAGCGACAGGGTGCGGTACTCCTCTTGGAAGCGCAGCAAGGATATGGACTTGTAGACATCCGCAATGAAAATCAGAGACTTTACTGTGATGATCTGGTGGACGTAGATGTTCGTATCAATGAAGGCCACTCCGATGAGATCTCCGTCCCGCAGCTGCCAGATGTAGATCTTCTGGCCCAGGCCAGTGACCAGAAAGCCGAGCACATCGGAAATGGCCGACACAGGACCCTTCTGCTCCTTCTTGAAGACTTCCTTCAGCTTGAACTTGGTCATCGGCTTCCCCGGTTCGGGCACCACCTCAATGATGTCGTATATGTGAATGTTGCCTCTGCTGGTGATGTCCTCGCTGTAATTGAAGTTGGTTCCGATGCACAAGTACTCCTTGAGACCCGATCGGGTGCCTTCGTACGACAGCTTTACGATCTTGAAGGCCGTCACGTGCTCCCACGGCTCAAACCGGATGGAGGCATCAGGCACGATCTCCCAGGTCTCCGGGGAGATCAGAACCATTTCGAACTGCGAGCCGATGGGATAGATGAAGCGCTCGCCACGGCTCTCCTCCGACAGCTCCTTGTCCTCCCCATTAAATCGATAGAACTTGGTCATCGGCTCCTCCATTTGGGTGATCAAGCAGTAGACCCGGTTCTCCCGATGGTAGACCAATTGTCGGGGAGTGCAGCGCAGCGGAACCTTCCGTATCGGCCAGGTGGAATCATAACTGAGGTAACTGGGCAGCACGGAGATCTTCAGCTCAAAGGTCGTGTCGAAGTACAGGAATCCATTCGGGATGTTCACGTTATTGAAGGCGGCGAAGCTGCGGACATCCCCGTTGCCCAACAGCCGATGAATACGAAGCTCTCCGCGGGAGGTGAGGAACACGAAGCAGGGGTTTACGCCGCACACCATAATGCCGGACAGTCCACCGACGTTGGCGAACGGCCGGAGCTTTTGTACGTATTTCGGTTGCATTTGATACGATTCCAGTTCTTCCTGCTCGTCATTTTCGTCCAACTCGATATGGGAGGGCTGGTGATCCATGAGATTCAGCTGCTCCAGCTTGCGGAAGCGAATTTTCAGATGCCCCTTCGGGTACCTGAACACTTGGTAGATGAGCAGCTCCACCCGGGTGCGAACTAACAGAAGGGGTCTTTCTCCATTCAGTCCCAAGCCTTGGACAGTCAATTCCAGGGGCAGCGGCGAGTTTGCATGCTGCGGCATACAGGCTTGGACGATGCCAGCCTTGGAGTTCTCTTGCGTCGTCAGGGAAATGGGCACGAACTCCATGGCATCAGTCAGGACCATGGCTCCATTGCCCACATCGTTCACCAAGTATACCAGCTTCATGTCCGGCATAGAGTAGATCTCCAAGGTGCCACTCTGGCGGGCAACCACCAGCCAGTAACTGGGCTTCGCCTGCACCAGGAGACGCCGCCACCAGTCGGAGTTCTTCTGCTTGGATTGCTTTGCCAAGTCAGCCATGCTGTTCATTTTGAAGGCATTACCGGCATCGCCGTAGAGCAGGTCCTCCTCGTCCTCCACCTTCATGTGGGGTTCCGCCTTCATGTAGCCACCGAAGCTGTGGCCAAAGCCACTGTTTGAGCTGCCCGTCAGATTTATGTCATCCGCCTTCACCGTAAACAGTCCCGAGAGATCCTTGTAGGCGGAAATGGCCACCACGGCAGGCGAACTACTGATCGTGTGCTTGTTAATGGCCAGTCGAGGAGTTCCACGCGTTTCTCGCAACGCCAAAGTGATCACTTGACCGTTCAGAACCCGCAGGCACACATAAGGATCAGCTATGGAAACCTGGACCACAGGCGAGCCCACATCAATGGGTACGTTCTGTATGAGGCGAGTACCTTGCAGAAGTCGCACATGACGTGTGGTGACCTGAAAAATGTAAATAGGATTAGAGGAATCATAAGGATAGACCACTTTTATGCAACCCACCTGGATAATGAACCTCTGCTGGCCGAGATTTCCCACAAATATCGTCGGCTGGTTCACTGTAAAGCCTGTGTTTTCGATCTCGTTGATCTCCTGGCCAGTTTGCAACACTAATGTGGAGTTGCGCTGTGAGAGAAGCATGAAATCATGCTGATCGTGCCGAGAAGTCTTTTTTGTGGCATCATCGAACACAGTCCACACATCCAGACAGCCATCCAGCTCAAAGCTGGTTATGATTTGTGGATTAATGCAGTTCACGAAGACGGAGAGGGCTCCGTTTTTACTGTGACCTGTTGCTGCCACAAGTTCGATCTTTAAATCGTTTAGATTCTCCGCATGCGGCCTCAACGTGGTTCCATCCTCCTCAAATTCCACTCGCTCTCCGGCACACATGTAGTTAATGGGGGCTACGTTAATCAGACTGTCGCACACCTCGAACACGAACTTCCGCAGCTGGAGAACCGATGCTTTAGCACCAGAGCCATACACCTGAGATTATAAGAGTCATGTTAAAGGCAACATGGGATAAATTATTACAAAGATAAGTACCTCTAATTCCTCATCCTCAATGCGTCTCGACTTGGCTTGCGTGGGAGCCAATTCAAGTTGATCCACATCAAGAATTTCATCCAGATTCTGATCCTCGGACTGCTGGCGCTGTAGCTGCTGATCCGACTGCTGCTCTACATCGTCCAGCGTAATTACCGTGCTCTGATCCTCCTCTGTGAAGTGCAGGAGCAACGAATTTCCAAGGCGCGACCCCAGGAAAATGTACTCCGAGTGGCAGACGCATATGCAGCTGGTTAGGACACTTGCGGCCGCCTTGTGGAAATGGAAGTTTCTGACGGTCCGCATGGAATCTACACAAAGTGTGAGCACGTAAAGATCACCGGTTCGAAGTGAGATCACCAGCTTGTCCACGTCGATGAACGCAAAGTTGGCGCAGTCCAAGCTGATGCGTACGCCATCCTGAGGCTTCAACGGAAAGCTAGTACTATTGTCCGCCGAGCTGTTTAGACTAACGCCATACGGAGGAACACTTTGGTTGAGGTAGATCACTGCATTCACGGTCATCACCAAGCAGCCACCAATGGGCTTCTGAATAGGATAGACCTGGAAAGAGGATAACCCTTTAATATTGAAGATGAGAGGCTATATTTGTAGACCCACCTGCTGACAATCGAAGGGCAGACTATTCACCGTCCATATAATGGGATGAACCCGCTGCTGGATGTTTAGCGAGATGGCAACCAACACGCAGGTGTCAGAGCGTACTTTTATTCTGCCCGGACAGGTGCGTACCGGTTCGTAGAGGATGAGCAGTGTAGGCTCATAGTAGCCATGTAGAAATTGAATATCCAGCACGTTGTCGATTTTTTCGTCCAGGTCCCGCAATGCTATCAGATACGAGGCCATTATAGGCGTGCGGGTGACCATTGCCGTGGGAGCCTTCTTTATGGGCTTAACGTCCGCCAACTCGATCTCATCCAGAGTGTTGTCTTTGCGAAATGGGAGCACTACTAGCCGCTTGCCGTAGACAAGCATAACAGCGCACCTCGAGTCCGGATCGACACGGACTACGGGTACATAGTATCTCCCTGTCCAGCCACCTCGTATATCCTCCTCTTCGAAGTAGTGGAGCGACAGGGTCTTAAGGGCATAGGTATCAGGATCGTGCTGCAGAACCGACAACTTGGCGTCCTTGAAGCTAATGAGCAGGGCATCTCGCATAGCACCGGCAAGGGAGACGCACTGCAGCGACATCACGTTGCCGTAGAGGGTGTAGGTGGCCAGGCACTCGAGTCGCATCTTGGGAGCGACCCTCATCTCGCTGGGATTCAGTTTCTGGCGCTGACCGGCTTCCACGTTGGGTGCAATGCGGTACACCTTGAGCACATTGGCGCCCGCCACCACCAGGTTCTCCTCCAGGTTGTTGAAGAAGCGGCACGCGATCGAGAACTCCACCGCGGTGGCGGGGTGCGTCTGCTTGCACATCGAAAACATCGCGATTGTCTGTCTTTTATATTTTTGAGCCGGATTTAAAAATTTTGCTCACATAGTGCAATAAAAACAACGCTTTGCACAATGCTGCCAGACTGTTGGAAGGCAATAAGCGGGCCAAGAGAAGGTCATATTTTTGGCCATATTTATACCATTCTTCATCCCCTATAGGAATACTTAAAATATTTGTATAAATATATTTTCTATAAAATTATTCGCGAGCTAGAACTTATTTTATTTCAAATTTAACATTGTCTTTCTTAAGATTTTTTAAATATAGAAAAAGAACCGGGCAACTGCATCATACGCAACATGTCGTGCAACATTATGCATACTTTTAGTGTTGGAAAACACGCTGTGTGACCAAGCAAAAAATATCGGAAAACGATATTTTTGGAAAAAAATATTACGATATGAATATCGACATCCCTAGCACGAATACGAAACGAGTACAGCGTAGTTGCTTTTGTTTGTGTGTTTTTGGATTCACATTTACCCCATTCAATATTTAATTTAGTGAGCCATTAACGGAACGGAAATATGGATTATGCAAAAGTTAGTGCTTAGGTATAGGCGAAAACCTGCCGCATGAACAGGACGCAACCTGCTGAAGGGCTTTTTTCTACAAGTATAAACAATTTTTCTACGTTCCTTCTCAATGGTGTAAGCGTGTGCGTGTGTGTGTGTGTGCGTGCGTGAGAAAAAAATATTAATTTTGAAATATAAAATGGAAAAGTCTTCAAAGAATAAATAAACTAAAGAACCAGTAAACGGAAAATATCTGCATAGCCGCAACCCGATTACATATAGAATAAAAAAAAAAAAAAAAAACACACACACCCGCACATTTGCTCGGGAAACATACATACATACACACAGATGGCAGTACATATACAAAGGGCGCAACGTTAAAATTATACAGACAGTTTGTCTTAAAATGGACAATACTGCTTGGCCAGGTTAGTGCCGCCTATCAGAATAGTTGTGGAATAAATAAACCACCATAATTACCCTTGTTCGGGTATGGATTTTATATTACCACGATGGATGGGTTCGAATGGTAAAGCGCTCGGGTAAAGAAACCCCCCCAAAACACCCTTTTTCATTAGCTCAGCCAAGCAGAGGAAGCATTAAATTTTGAATAATTCAATAGAGGGGAGAAAGGGAGATTTTTAATCATTTACAAATGGTCAGTTTTTCTTTCCATTTGGAATTTATAGATTTTAAGCAGGCGAATTTCATTCTTAAATTCTAAACCATATTATATTATTGCAGTATGTGCGGAAGAAACTTGCCTGACATGGATATATGGAATAAACGTACGCTGTAAATAGTTAGGAAGAAAGATTTACAATGAAAACCATAACGCCGGATACGACGACGTCAACGTCGCAGCACCAACAGCTTCTCATTCCACAAGCGGATCACCTGCAGGCACAACCGATGCAGCAGGCTCACCAGCAGCAGCAACACCAGTCCCTGGTGGCTTCTGCCCCGCCTCCGATAATAATGGAACATGTGAACCTGGTGGACGACGACGAAAGGGATCCCCTGGCTCTAGAGCAGCCGCCGGATGCGTCGCCCACAACCAAGCACACACACAGTCTGAGGTGAGTTGACATTTTCCTGGCATATCCGGCTCCAGGATCTAATGCCTCTTCCACTCCTTGCAGACGCCACCTACCACGTATAATCGTTAAGCCAATACCACCTGAAAAGAAGCCTTTGGCGCCCAGTGACAGTGGTCTGACCATACTGCCAGGCACGCAACCTCCCCCCTCAGTTTCCATCAGTACCGCCCCCACATCGACCACTGCTCCACCCGCCCGATGGATCAGCAGTAGACGCATCCAGCAGCAGCAACAGGCTAAAGCGGCTGCAGCAGCCGCCGCTGCAGAGGCAGCAGCAGCAGCGCAAGCGGCGGCAGCAGCAGCTGCTCAGGCGCGAGCTGCTGCCGGGAGCAATGCCAACTCGGCGCATTCGCCAGGCAGCAAAGGAGGTGGCTCTTCGCAGGCCTCCACCATGCGCGAGGTGTTGGCTTCAATACCCGGCTTCAGTGTGAAGCCACGGCGCCGCAACAACAAGAAGCTAACCACAGCGGCGCAAATCGAACAGACGAAGGACGGAAAGATCGACCTGGAGACACCAGACTCGATTCTGGCCTCGACGAACCTAAGATCGTTGCTCAATAAGCAAACGTTTTCGCTGCTACCACCGCTCTATCAATACAATCTCATTCAGCTGCTGCCGAGCGTGGATCGCGAGGCCAGTGAGGTGGAGATGCCCAGCGGCAGCGGCTCCTCGGAGGCTATTCGGCTGAGTGCGTCCTGCCTGACCAACGAGTTCTTTTCGCGAGCCTCCGTGGAGTGGCGGGAGCGGCTGAGCGAAGGTGAGTTCACGCCCGAGAACCAGCTGAAGCTCAAAACGGAGGCGGAGCGTGAAAAGAACAAGCTCGATCCCTGGAAACTTAAGCATTTCGAGCCGTATTGGGGCGAGAAGAATTCCCGGAGCAAAGTCAAGCAAGAGGAGCAGAAGCTTTTAGCCAACATTAAGAGTGAGTCTAAGCCACCACCAGCTACACAACAGCAACCGCGACGACAGCAGCAACAAGCAACATGTGATAATGAGACTGAATTAAAATTTGATTTGGTGAGTAATTGATATCTTATTGGAGATTCTAATTTCATTTTTTACCCTTTGTTCCTTGCATCCGATAGAGCACAAAGTGCGAAATGACAGCAGCCACAAACACGACAGTAGCTACAGCCAATACAACCACGCCTCCTGCCATTAGTCACGCCCACACCAGCCAGCATCATCATCAGAACAATGTGCTGACCGAGCAGCAGCGTCGAATTCTTAAACGTCCATCGAGCAGTCCATCGCAACGGAAGCAGACCCCCACATCGATAACCACCATCACATTGGACGATGATCCAGATCCGGAAGAGCTGCCCAGCACATCAAAGGATAGCAAGCAACCGAAAATCGAAGTCGAAATTGTTCCTAATGCTGTCCCGGTCTCTGTCTCTGTCTCGGAAGCGGACGTTGTGGATCATCATAGCACAGCGGAATCAGACATCAAGGAGGAACACCACCAACAGCAGCCACTTATCAACAGTACCTGTGATAAAATCGAGCCATCTGAGTGCAGTGGAGAAGTCGCTATCGTTGCCATGGATCAAGACGACGATGTGGTTGAGTTGGTGCAGCCAGCGATGGCTGCGATTGCCGCTGTTACCCCAGCAAAGGCAGTAGCATTGCCGGAGTCGTTGCCAACCAATCCGGAGGTGGTTAACCAGTTTGTAAGCTACTTCCAAAGCGTTGAACTAGCAGCTGGTGAGTTTGATTTTAAAGCCATGGTTAGTTCTTGTTTCTATAGTTTAATATTTCTTTTTTAGAAACCAAAGAGCCTTTGGATAATTTAAACAATGAAAATCACACAACGGCAACCAACAGTCACGATTACGTCTTTGCGGATACCATCGATCACGGTATGTTCTTTAACTTTTATTTATAAACCTTATCGGTGTTTAAAACAATGAACTTTCATTCATGATTAGCTTATTTCCCGACTGATCCATCAGCCATCACGCACAGCTACTTCACATCATCATCGTCATCGTCTTCATCAAACAGTAATCACCCACGAATCTCTTATATTCTTAAAAACATTCTTAATATTTTGTATTTTCCATTTCCAGCGGCGACAAACACAATTCTTAAAATGGAGGAGCAGAGCGATAAGCTGGACGACTCACCGATTCCTATTGCCAGCTCTATTCCTGGCTCGACGCCAGCGAGTTCGATAACATCCACCAGTTGTACCTTGTCCTCATCCTCCATGTCGTCGTCCTGCTCGAGCAGCAACTCCAGCTCAACGGCCACAGCCCCAACCACATCATCCCTACCTTTAGGATCGGCTCCGTTGACACTTACCACAGCAACAGAATCTACGCTGGCTACTGTAGAAGCCATTCTACCAACGGTTGCCAAGCTGCAGCCACAGGACATGCCCGTGGAGTTGGACTCCAACGAAATGTATCAGCACGTGCAGCACGATTGGAACTTTGGCGACATCAAGCTAAGCAGTTCGCAGTCATCAGGAACGGCGGGCGATCAGAACCACGAGTCCATTAATCTGATAGATGGGGAGCACGATAGTGTGGTCATAGAGGATATATTGGAGAACGATGGCTGCCAGGACGTGATTGAGGATGAGGTGGAAGACGACGAGGAAGAGGAGGAGGAGGAGGAAGAAGACGACGATGATGTGGTGGAATGCATTGCCGAGGAGCATCCGGAGCAGCAGCTGATCGAGGATGACAGCGATGCAGTGAGCCAGATTGTTGAAAAGTTACAGCAACACCAACAACAACAGCAACATCAGCAGCAACACCAACAACTGCATATCCAGGATATGGTGCACTTGGCTCAGCATTCGTTTATGCCGCAAGCCCACAACGAGTATGGAAATGAGGTGGGTTTTAGAAATATATTTAAAGACTTAAGCCATGGTAATATTATGTTATTATATTGTAGATTGGCCAGGAGATGGTTTGCGATACGGTGCCCATGTCTGCTGCAGAAATGGAAGTGTCCAGTACTGTGATTACCAACAGCAGCAACAGCAACGACAGCAGCAACAATCTGATTCTCTGCAGCAGTAGCAGCAGTCTGACTATAAATCAGTTACCGCAGCAACCGGCCCAGCAGCAGCCGCAACAACAGAACACCCAGCCGACGGGTCCGCAGCAACGACAGATTTTGGTTGATTCCAACGGTCAGATTATTGGCAACTTTCTGCTGCAGCAGCAGCAACGCCAACAGATCTTACAGCAATTCACGTTGCAAGCGGCGGCCGCGCAGCAGCAACAGCAGCAGGCTACGAGTAGCAACGCTTTGCCCAAAACACTGCCGGTGACTCTGCGGAATGGTGGGCAGCCCTTCTTGACACCAAACTTGCTGGCCCAACAGCAACAACTGGAACAACAGCAGCAGCAGCAGCAGCAACAACAGCAAGCCGCTGTTCAGCAAAAGCAGCAGCAACTGCAACAGTTTGCCTTGCAACAGGCCCAACTGCAACGGCAGCTAATGGCGCAGGCAGCCAACAACAATCTTATACAGCAGCAGCAGCAACAGCAACAGAATGTTCTCCCAACCTCAACACAAGCCAAGTTCATAAGCAAGCCATTGAACATCATCTCCATGACGCGAACTGCCCCTGCATCGCCTACCACAGCAACAACAACAGCTAATACCACAACGATTCCGTCCGCCTATGCCAGTGTTGTTGCTGTGACAGCCGCGCAACAGCAGCAATCGTCGCCTGTACCTGCCCCGCAACAGCCGCAGCCGCAGCCACAGCCACAGCAGCAGCAGTTGGCCAATCACAACAGCAATGTGCAGCATTTACCAACAATACCCAACTCTCTAACCATGAAACCTCTGCCACTCTCCGGAGTACCAACAACCATTGCCCAGCAGCGTATGCAGCCAAAGATGCAGCCGACGGGCAAAGGGCGCAAGGCCACCAGCAACAAGTTGCCGCCGGGAGCGGTCAATCTGGAGCGCAGCTACCAAATCTGCCAGGCGGTCATCCAAAATAGTCCCAATCGGGAGAACTTGAAGGCCCAGTTGCGACCTCCGGCCGCCATTATTAACCAACAGCAGCCGACACCCTCTACGGCGGCGGCACCGGTATCCCTAAGCCCATCAACAGTGACTGCTGCTCCAATCGCCAGCATGTCGGCGGCCAGTGGAAATGTGGCGGCCACAGTGGCCGCAGCACCTCCGCAAAATATAATTAAGCAAGAGGAGTTGATGGTTAGCGGCGCTGCTGCCACTGGGCAGATTCCAGCGGGACTTCCGCCAAACGTGATGGGCGTCGGACGTCCAGGAGTGTACAAGGTGCGTTCCCACAACCCCGAGATTTCAAAACAGGCTTCTTAAGACTACCTCTCTTTTAGGTTATTGGGCACCGAATGAGCGGCTTTCCGCGGAAGAAGTACGTTCCCAGGAAGCCCTCTCCCACTTTGATACGGCACGTGTTCACGCCAGGACCTGGTGCCGCACCAGCCACCCCCCAGCAGCTGCAGTTGCTCCAGCAGCAACAGGCCCACCATCAGGCAACAACATCGCCGGTGACACAGAATCCACAGCAGGCGGCCACCGAGCAAATAATTCACCAAAACGGCAGCGGGCAGTATGTTCTGGTGCATCGGGCTAATGTAGGAGCAGCCGACAATCAGGCGCCAAGGGCCTCAAGTGCGCCGCCACTTCATCAGAATCAGGTAAGATGTTGATATTTTCTATTGGAATCTATTCCTCACATCCCTTTCACCTTGCAGCAGTTTGTCACTGTTCAGAATCCGCTGCACAGCCTCAACGGCATATCAATGAGTGGACGCGGGCGTCCAGCGTCGGTGGATACAACCGCTGGCAGTGGCAACATTATGGCGCCAACAATAACTGCCACAGATGCAATGCATCAGCACGGCCAACACGAGCTGCAACAGCAGCCGCAGCAGCTGGCCAATGTGGGCGCCGCCACGAATATTGTGCGGCGCAATATCGCTGCAGGTAAATTGGTGTATTATTAGTGGTTAGAGAGGTACGTTTTTCAATTCACCGTCCATCAAATTCATCAATCTCTTGGTCATGAAACCATACCATACCATACCATAATTGGCACGCAGTCCTTAGTACTTTGCATAGTTTTCTAGCTAAACTAGATAGATAACTAGAATGAAATTTTATATAAAATGCATGAAAGGAAGTTTCTATATTTTTATTTTATTGCTTTTCCTAGAAATCTTTTTCATTTGTTTTGAGAACTTTTTAATGATTAAAGTTTGTATGGCCAACACTAAACTATTCATAATTAAACTCATTTACATTTCATAGACTTGTTGATTTGTTAGTAAGTATGTAACTAGAAAGACAACTATTGTGGCTATTGTGATTCTATTTGCTATATGTTTCTAATAACTCCCTTCATAACAGGCACCAACATCGCCTACATCGACGGCAACAATACCAACTCCACAGCAGTCGCCCTCATGGATGCTGGAAACAATTACCTTGCTGTGACCAACACTCCAGCAGGCCCAACATCCGTGTCGCCTGTTGTCAACCAGTCGCAGACATTGGTGCAGCACCAGCAACATCCCCTGCTGCAAATGCAGAACAGTGGGGAGAACACCCCACCGGCCAATGACGCCAACCCAACACCGAACAACTGCGCCTGTTCGCTCAATGCGATGGTGATCTGCCAGCAGTGCGGAGCCTTCTGTCACGACGACTGCATCGGTGCGTCCAAGCTGTGCGTGGCATGCGTGATCAGATGAGATGGATAACAACGTATTATTGTTAGTTAGAGCTCCCCAACCGACGACACACACTGAATGTTTGCTGTTTGAAACTACTAACCGAAGCACTAATCGACCAGCAGGGGCGAATACCAATCGTACAAGTGAGAACAACGCAAGTGCATGAGGCTTACGCACAGACACAGCATAGGCAACACCCCATACACATAAATGTATATTTTAATTCATACGCAACTCATGTAATCTAAGCTAGCAGGCGGCAGTTCGTGACACATTTTGTATAAAGATAATGATTATAAGAAGGGCTTAAATGCAAGCAATGTTGTGTATTTTGTGCTTGTTGCGTATCCCTTGAGATACTCGTTGATTTTTTGTGATTTTTTTAAATGGATATCACACAAGCACTCTAAAACGATAACCAGACAGTCGATCTACAAAAACTCTCATTGTAATTACTACAAAGCATGTATGGTTAATGAAAAGTACACCTGTAGAGGACTATGATGACTATGATTTAAAGACGCCGACTCTTGTGTAAATATTTATGTTTAAAATGTATCTTGTATGGAATACTATAGAGTGCATATAATGTTAGATTAACAATGGATATATATTTTTATAATTTATTCGCAGTGTGTGCGAGATTATGTTTGTTCGTTTTATGAATGCATCAAATCGATCAATACACCTATTGACATACATATAATATAGTTGTGTAATTTATGAAGAATATTCTTAATGTAATTGGTCATAAACCTGGGCCCAGGAGCCTAGAATTTAATTTTAAATTCTCTTACCTAAGTTAGTATTCTCCACCCGACAACACCCACACCCACACCTAAGCATTCTAAGACTCTTCACGCCCCACATCTCTTAAGTATATAGCGCATAAACGTACTTGTAATACACGTAAATGATTTCAATACACAACCTTATATATTAAGAAAAAACTGTTGATAATACAAAAATACAATGCAACCTATAAAAGAGAAACAAAAACAAAAACACATAAATTTGAAATATAAACGAACACACAACACCATACGAGACAACTATATAAATTATATAGCAAGCGAATGATCAGAAAAATCCAGATCCAGATTCAAACGATGGCGCGGTAAAACCCAAAATTCAAAAACAAATGAACATTTTGCTCCTAGATGCACTCAACGCAAAATTAACCAATAAAAATAAACATTATTACAAATAAATTTTGAAAAAACAAACTAAGCAAGAGGGCTATTCTACAATTTTAAATTATCATTTTTATTTTTTATTTGGATGAAGAAAAGTACAAGTTTTTTGCTCGAAAGATGGTAAGTTACAAAGTATTCAGTCCATTTCTAAATGTTAGAAATTCTAGAATTAATCCTCATTATGCGCGGATGTCCTTGTAGTGCTTTTCTTCATCAGTCTTGTCCAGCTTGATGGAGTATTTACCGATGAGGGAACCCTCCACATCGGCTTGACCCTCGGGATTGAACTGTGGGCCATCGCCAACGTCCTGCATCTCGTCCTTGAGCACTCTGTAGCCGTCCTTGTCGGCGATGTATTCGACCCTGCGCTGCACAAAGCCATCGAAGTAGCTGTAGGATCCGCGCACAGTGCCACCCTCACGCTGCTCTTCCCGGGTGATCTGTCCGTCGTTGATCTTGTCGTCCACCTTGGAGTTAAACGCATACTGAGCATTTTCATTCTGATAGCGCTCCGCTTCCTCCCGGTCTTGTCTTTCCTGTTCGGTTTCTTCTCGCTGGAAATATTAAGGATACATTTTTGAAATTATTTTTACAATTATTATTGATAGGCAGGGGCAGACACACCCCTTTGGCTTTAAAAATTCATGTTTATTTTAATATTTTACTCAAACTTGTTTTTATCGTATAGATGTTCGATTTTAGATTCGGTTAGGGAGGTTTCAATATTTCCCCTTCCCATTAACAAAGATCTCAAGCTATTAGGCTTTAGTTATATGATTCTGGGGTCAAGAAAGTTCATCCAATAATCAATAATATCATTAAATTCCATGACTTTTTATAAAAAAATATCTCATATCTTTATATAGAGAAGATATTACTGAATACTTGAAGAAGTACGAGGAATGACACATTCATTACGTCTCTGAGACATATTTTTTGTCCAGTACCAGTCCCGAGCGAATCCAATTAGTCTTCAGAACGGAAATAGTAATTGAAAGATGTCAATGTAGTTGAGATATCATTACACATATATCTCCGGTAGTAAAGGGTCTTACGATTTTTTAAACTACCTACTTGTACAACTAGGTAAATATTTTCTTTAATGGAGAAATACATATAACTTAAATATCTTAAAAAATCATCCTATTTATTTAATTTTTCCTGCCCCAGTTTTGATAAATATTTAAGTTTGTGTAGCGCCTATAGTTTTCGGCTATACCGATCCTGTTTATATGTATATAATACATATAACTTAAATATCTTAAAAAAGCATCCTATTTTTTTAATTTTTGTTGCTCTAGTTTTTATAAATATTTAAGTTTGTGTAGCGCCTATAGTTTTCGGCTATACCGATCCTGTTTATATGTATATAATACATATAACTTAAATATCTTAAAAAAGCATCCTATTTTTTTAATTTTTGTTGCTCTAGTTTTTATAAATATTTAAGTTTGTGTAGCGCCTATAGTTTTCGGCTATACCGATCCTGTTTATATGTAAATTCAAAGTCAAAATGATAAGTGCCTTGGGTTGTTTTTGCACGTATTTTTTCATTCCTTTGTTTTAGTACCTCGGCTTCAAGGCAAAGTGGGGAGGTAAAAATTAAAAAAAAAATGTGAAAAAAATGGAAAATACAAACGCAAAATAACCAGAAAACTTGTTCGACTCGAAACAGCCGATCGGGGCATATAAAGCCCGATGAACGCCAGTCGATGTTGACTATAGTAGCGAAGCGGACGTTCAACTGGCCAAATATCCAACTATATCCACAACTATAATTATGGGTAGGTCTAAATAAAAAAATTCGCACGAAATGCGGAACCGGTGAGAATTTGGTTTTAACATTAACATCCAACATCCCAATGTTGCAGCTAAACTGGGCTTTGTCTTTCTCCTGATGGCCGCCTGTGTGGTTGCTGCACTGGCTGCTGGTGGTAAGTGGGGAATTTTTCGTAGCTTTTAAGCAGAGCTTTTGCTTTATCCATTCTGGTCTCTCTTTGGAGCAGACTGCCCTTCGTCCACAAAGGTATTGAACTGTACCCCCAAGTGCCTGCACGACAGCGAGTGCAGCACCAGTGGCGGCAAGTGTTGCCCCAACTTGTGCAACGGCCGCAGCTGCGTGCAACCCAATCTTCTGAGCAATTCCGGTGCCGACAAGTCCCCTTTCGGCAGCAAGAATAGTAAGTTGAGCTCTGGATTCTACAAAAAAATATTGGAATATTAAACCCCTTGGGGTGGTTTTTTTCAGGTGGCTCCTCTGGCTCTTATTGTGGCAATGTCAAGTGCGGCAGCTTCGAGAAATGCGAAACGGATCGCAGCACGAAGCGCCCCAAGTGCGTGCGATCTTGATAGCCTTGAAGCTATCTCCTCGTGTATCCGCATCAACACTGAGAAAAATGCTTACAAATTCACAAAAAAGCCTTGTTATTGAACTTGATTAGGCCCTGCCTTTTCGGAATAAAATGGTATGAGTTATGCTTATCTAATCTCCTCAAAGCTATTTGTTTCTTTTAGAAAGTTGGATACTTTTTAAGATTTTCTTTTTTTTGGAAAAATCACTTTTGACGACTATTATTTGGAAATTCCTGCTAAAAAGCACAATGTTGAATGATTTTTTAATCCACAATACTATTCTTTACTTAATGGTTCAGTCTTTTTATATTATTATTATTATTTTTATAATTTTTTTTTAACACTCACGGGAGCTGCGAGGGCAATTGTGACCAGCAGGCTGGCAACCAACACGTATTTGAACATTTTTTTTATATTTTTTTTTTGGGGCTCTGCACTGGGATGTCTTGGCGCTGCAAGCAACTTTGGACTGTGGATCGTTGAGCGGCTGGTAGCCCGGCTTTTATATCACACTTGAGACCTGGCCAAAAAGCTGCTAGCGTCGGCAGCGTCGACAGCGGCGTCGCTTCGTTTTTATTTTTTTTTTATTATTACTTTTTTTTTTCTTGTGCTCTCCCCCCCCCCACCGGACTTTTCGGTGTTTACATTTTTGACAAGCCAAAGATCTTCCATGGCTGAGATGTTGTTGTTGTTGGGGGAAAAACTCAGCTTCAAATGTAATTTTGCAATCGGCTTTTTAGGAGGGGGGCGGGGAGCTACTTGGTGCCTGCAATTTGTTGACTTTCGTGTAGATGGGGCCGCCGGACCAAAAGAAGAAGATCGAATTGGAATCGGGCCATTGCGTAAGCGGCCCCATCTGAAAAATGTCAGACGCGGCTCAGCATCTCAAGGTCATCCGGTCGACCAGTTTACAAAAAATTAAAACCGCTCTAAAATAAAAACCCTCAACCGAAAAAAGAGGTGCACTTACCGCACCTATTCTGCGGCGTCTTCTGCTTCGTCTTCTCCTGTAAGCGACGACGGTCTCTTTTCTTCCCTCCCCCGCCTACCCCGCACTAGCTTTTTATGGTCAACTTATGTAATTTATGTGGAGTTTTGTGCAAATTGAAAGCTTCGTTTTTTTCGCTTTTTTCGAGGAAGTAAGTGGAGCATTACGTTGTGTCTGGGGCACCCTTTTTTGAATTGGTTTGGGATTGGGATTGGGATTCGGTTTGCTTTTTGGGGGGAACTGCAATTTGGGGCCTCACCTATCTGGGAATCTACAGTGGAAGAATTGGGCAATATCTACGACTGATTTAGCTTAATTGAATTACATTTTATGGGCCAAGATGCTAATGGATAGGTAGGTGAACTATGGCGTTGGGCAACCAGTTATTTGGAAACAGGTAACAATATTTATTCAAAATTAAAATAAACTAAAAAACCAGACAAAGGAGGAAGACCACATTCTACCAGCTTCCTTAACATTTAAAAATAATCATTGTCTTGACCTTTATAAAATTAAATGTATGACGCTATTAAGTACTAAACTTAATAAGCTTATAATATATACATTTTTAATATTTTAAGTAGGTATGTTTGAGACCAAAAATTTATGAAATTGTTTATAAACCGTTAAACGGTAGACTGCCTAGAACTTGGGGAGTTCTTTATTAGTTTCTTCACGTTTCTGGGGGTGAGATCAGTTTGGTCATGCGGCCCACAGTGCGGATACTTTATTTGTTGGACATCCGTTCGTTCCACTTTCAGTTCCCACCCAACGCCGCCCGCTCCCCCGATCACAGTGGGCTTTCTATGAACCGCATTGGGCACTTGGCCAGATGTAGTAAGAGTTTAGTAAACTATTTCTTTCATTTCTGCTTATTTTTACCACTTTTGTTAATGCCATTGCAGTGGCACGAATTCAGTTAGATGATATCGAGATGAAAGACAAGTTTTATATGAATTACACAGAGAAAAATTAAAAATAGTACTAGGTTATATGGTATAATATTAAAAAATAATATAGGAAAAATTTCTCTTGGTGTCTGTTTGTCTTGAATCTGAAATCAATATAAAAGGCTCAAGGTGAGAGACCGCTCCAAGTCATCAGGTTGGTTTACCGATAATGTTTTTGATTATACATGGCTGTCTTAATGACGCCCGATGAGACTCCTCGGCCACAAAAGGAGAAAGAGGCGGGAGAAAGAGCCATCCGGCGATGACGGGAAGGTCAGGAAGGAAGCGGAAAAAGCGAAAGAGCTTCAAACATTTGCCATATTTATGGCCAGGTTTTGACTTGGGACTGACTTGGCTAATTAGCACGTCAGCTCGACTCCCCCTTATTTGCATACGAGAGTGGCTAAGAGGAGGAGAGGCGTTTCATTGACAAATTACTTTCGAGATCCATTTTTTATCACAGCTTTTATGCAAATGATCGTCACACACACGTCTTCAGAGCCATGGATTTAGCTCAGGGCTAAATGGCAACTTGACATTTTCAATCAAAATTTGTTAATTATCTATATATGTGGCTATGGACTTATGGGCTGGCCATATAAATGATGTCTATCGGGCGGACGATTTCAGTTTCTTTACGCTTTTGTGGGTGATTCAATGACCTTTTGATTTGCATTCATATTTTGTTCGCATGAATGGCTAACAAATAACCGAAATTATGTTAATAATATTTGAATAATTGGTCTCTGATAACCACTCGTATGATTAAGTGGGTTTGTGTGGGAAATTAAGCCAAGATTGGATAGTCTTGTGTTATTTTTGGCTTTTAATTGTTGGGGTAGATCTGAAAAAGATCAAAAGAAATCATTTTAGTTGCATCTCCAGTTTATGGCTGAATAATAAAATTTAGTGCGCCGGTTGTTGCGATGGTGTGATAGCCATAAACCCGCTTCTGGAACATGCCAGTATTATCAATGAATCACTTGGCAAAATAAATCCGATTTATAAGCATTCGCATAAATTTTCAACGCGATGTTGTCACTTTAAAAGCTGTCCACACACTTGGCAGCAGATGCCACACATAGCACACCCGCGTTTCAAGGACACTTAACCGACTTACATATTAAAATCTGCTATAGCCTGGTAACAGAACCACCTTTTGGATAATGATACAATATAGTTAGTTTTTACATCGCAAAGTTTCGCTTTCTGCACTTTTATTTCTCTCATTATTGGATTGCAATCCGATCTGCATCCAAATTGTAGAAATGATTTTTATCAATAGTCATTACACGTTTAGGTTTAGATACAGCTATACATAGATTTAGTTATAATCTATACTTGAGGGATTGCTAAGCCCAACACGCCTACTAACTTGTTGATGGGACCTCTCACGTATCCTAACTATTTTACAAGCTGCATAAGAAATATGCAGCTCCTGGTATTTACATACAATATTTAGGGTATACAGAAATATATATATTTATATGTATATGGTATAATAATATATAAGCTACTTGCAATAGCTTAGCTGAAGACCTCTCCTCGGAGGGTCTTTTTGAGCATGGAGGTCCTCCGAAGAGTTCCTCTACTTTCTATACAATACGTTACTTTATAATTGTTTTTTTTTTGTTTTGTTTTTTAATTATTTTATGTATGATATTGATATCTTTTAATTAGCCGATCACACCGAATCAGCGACTAAGTTTTATATATTTTTTTTTTTTTTGTTTTTATCAATTAATAAGCGTAATCCATTCTGTAGTTGGGTTCCTATTATATTTTTATATTTTTGTGATCCTGTTCCGCTCGTAATCTTCCTGATCCACTTTACTGTGTCTTGGCGCCGGGGTGGGAGACACCGTCAGAGTATTTGGGTCGGCACTCGGCACAGAACCACTTGCCCTGCGGCGCCACCATGATGCCCACGCACTCAAAGTGGAACCACTCGATCTGACAGTTGTCTCCGTCGCAGGCGATCATCTCGGACACCTCGTCGTAGGGGCACCGGCAGTAGCAGTAGACGCACTCCCCCTCGCGGGCCAGTCGAGCTCCCGCTGGCGGCCGGATCGGGTACCGGATGTTGTTGGCCTTGAAATACTGCAGCGTGGCGAAGCCGGGATTGGGCAGCAGAGCGGGCGGAATGGGCTGGTTGAAGGCCGTGGTGGCCGGCGTCGGCGGCATAGGTGGTGCTACCACAGGCGGAGGCGCCAACACGGGTGGTGGTGGTGGCGGTGCCAGAGGCGTGACTGGATGCGGGGAGTCCACCAGGCTCGTCACATTCACCTCCACATCCTCGTCATCCGAGCTGCTGTCGCTACTGTCGGATTGTGGAGCACTGCTGGGCAGCAAACTGGGTCGAATCTTGAGTGTGGGAATGGGTGGCAGGCCGTGGTGCTCCTCGCGGTCTGGCTTGTGGCGCTTCGCGGACCTGGAGCTGCTGCCGGCACCCAGCAGGGATCGCTGCTTGCTGCGCTTCCTCGACGAGGATCCCGCCAGGGGTGTTCCTCCGTTGCTGTGCGAGTGATGATGGTGGTTGTTGTTCCGGCTGCGCTGCTTCGGCGGCGTGGGCAGGTCCTCCTTGGCCCATGTCAGCTGTGGTGGAGGCTGTGGCTTGATCAGCTGCATTCCCACCTGCAAGGGCGGGGCCAAGATGGTGCTCATGTTCTCGTCGTCGCTGGTGTAGCCGTAGAACTTGTTGGGCCTGCGCTGGCGCTTCGAGCGCTTCAATTGGCCGTCGGCATCGGAGCTACTGCCCTCGCTCATGCGGGTCAGCGAGGGCTGGAGATGGCGATGGGTGAGCGGCGTCACTGGGAAAAGAGAAGAATCGGTAGAAACTGGAAAGACTGGCGACGGCTCCACTGGCAAGGGCACCACTCCGGGCATACCCAGGTGATCGTTGGTCATCGCAGACGGCATCTTGCCCGACTTGCACGTAGACTTTCGTTCTCGCTTCTTTTTCTTGTTCTTCACACGCTCACGCTTCTCGGCGAAGGCGGCCGCCTCCTCCGGCAAGGAGGGAGTCGACGGACGACTGTTCTCCACAATGTCGTAGTTGTTGCTCGGTCGCAGAGGGGCGTGCTCCGCCAGGAGGGCCTCGCGCTTCTGGGCCAGCAGCTCGTTGGCCAGCTTCTGGGGATGAGAATCATAGAACTCCTCGTCCGTGTCCGAGACATTGGTGTCGAAGTCAGACTCATTGTACATGGGCGGCTTCGGCGAAGGCGGAGCTGCCTGGTTCTCCTCGTTCATGACCGAGACATTAGCGTTCTCCGAATCCTTCTCGCGATCGTTTTGCTCTCCCCGGGCCACTGACTCGGAAGACTTCTTCTGGCGAATCGACTTCTTGCGCTGTCGCTTTTGCGGAGATCCTCCTGCAGTGGAGCTGGCAGAATCATCCGAGTCGTCGCTGGAACTGCTGCTGTTGCTGGAGCTGCAGCTGCAGTTCGAGCCGCAGGAACAGCTCGATGAGTCCGAGTCCGACGAGCTGGAGCTGCTGGAACTGTCGCTGTCGCTGGAGGCGTTGTGCCTTCCAGCCCCCTTCTTGGCGGACTTGGGGGTGGCCGGTTTCTTAACGGGCGATGGCGGAGGTGTACGATGCAGCTTGCAGTAATCGTGATCGGACCACGCCACATGTAGCTTGGCTGGTGGTTTGTTGGCCATCTCGATTTCCATCTCCTCCTCCTGCTTGACTGTCGGTTGATCTTCGTCATTGGCCGGTTGGTTCTGCAAGAGGTTCTTCCAAATGGAGACATCGACCTGATCCTCGGTCTCCTCCTTCTTAGCCTCCGTCTCGGCTATGGTGGAGGACTCCTCCTTCTCGACCGACTCCTTGGTATCGTCTGGTGCCTTCTCCGAAGACTTCTCCTCGATTTTGGGCTTGCTGTCAGCCGGCTCATCAGCATCGCTCTCGGATGACGGCGATAGCATCACCTTTGGCATGTCCAGATCATCCACAGAGGATCGCATGGGCAGAACAGACAGCTCCTGATGGCTGCTCCTCGGAGCATCCGAGTCGCTGTCATCACTGCTGTCCGACTCTGAGAGATTGGGGGCAATAAGGTTGAGATCCGCAAGGGATTCCTTGTTGCGTTTGGCCTTCTTGCGCTTCTTCCGATTTTCAGACTTGCTCGGCGGCGAATCCTTCCCAGCTTTACCGTCTTTGGTGTCCTCTGATTCCTTCTCCTCCCTGGACGCATTTTCAGGAGCATTCTTCTCGTCTGGCTGTCGTGTCTCTGCTTCGGCGTCCTCTCCTTCCTCCTTCTTAACGTCCTCGCTTTTCGGAGCAGCATTGTCACCTGGCGGCTCGATAGCCTCCGCGGGAAGCTCCTTGATCACGTGGCTGCTGGCATGCTTCAGCAGTAACTTCCGTGAGACGAACTTCTCCTCGCAACCCTCCTCGGCACAGGCGTACCGGAAATCTCCATTGTGCATCCGCTGATGGACCTCCAGGTAAATGGCCTTGCTGAAGTTGAAGCCGCACTGCTCGCACGAGAACTGGGCCGGTGGCACACAGAAGTGGTAGACGTGCCGCCAGCGCTTCTGGAGACATCGCTTGCAGCTGGCACTCTCCGTTCCATGCTTCCAGAAGAGATGCTTTGAAATGTCCTGCTTGTTGCGGTACGCAATCCCACAGCGATAGCAGAGATGCAGCAGCTTGTGCTTCCAGACATGGGCCGACAGCTTCGTCTGGTTCTGGCAATCCTCCAGGCATATGTCGCAAGCCTGGTGCTGCTTCCTCAGGTGAACCATTAGGCGGAACGCCGACGGCAAGGGGGGCACATCGCATAAACAGCAACGGAAGTTGAGGTCATAGATACTTCCCGCCACCTCGCCGGGACAGATGTGACACAGAATCTCACTGTAGCTGTAGAAATTGGTCTGGCACATCATGCAGGTGATGTTGGACTTGATGTGCAGACGCCGGTTGTGGGTGTAGAGCTCCTTATGCGTCGAGGTAACGAAGCAACAGGAGAAGCACTCGTATATGCGCTCGTTGTACGGCTCCACGTACTTGCCGTTCTCCACGCTGCAGTAGCTGGCCGAATTCAAGTACTCCTGTTCGAGCTGCGGCAGGAAGCTCTTGAGCCGCGCCACAATAGTCTCGGCGTGCAACTCCTCGGCGGTGATGCTGTCGACCGTGGCTGTGAATCTGTGCTGGCGGATCATGTGCAGGACTAGTTGCTTTCCATTGACGGCAATTCTCCTCGCATGGTTGCAGTACAGGCACGTCGCATAAACGGTCCGCAGGCACAGTCGCACGAACTCAATCATCGGAATCTTGTCGAGCGCGCGGTCCAGTTGCAGGTCCATTGTCGGCGTCTCTGGTCCAGCCACTACGATGCCATCGGCCGGTGGTGGAGGCGGCGGTGGATCGGTTACTTCCAGGATTTCGGGTTCTTCAAAGGGTTGAGGAGCTGGCACCGCTGCTTCTACCGGCTGATCCCTTCGGTCGCCCGTTTCGGCTCCATTTATGGTGTCGTCGATGTCCATGCAATCGCTGCCCAAGCTGTTGCGACGCACTGCATCGGCTCGATCTTGGAACTCGGTGATGACTGGAGCTGGAGGCTGCTCCGGCAGATTTATGTGGTTGGTATTGTTGTGCGGAGAGGCTGGCGGTGTCAGCGACCAACGACGCTGCTCTTCCGGCTGTGCCTGCTGCTGTAGCTGAAGCGGAGGATCCACCACCTGTGGCTCCAATGCCCGAACCTCTTCTTGGGCCTGAATCACCTTGGATTGTTTCTTGTGAATCATGTCCGCCTTGGTACGCTCAATGTCCAGCTTGGTGCGCTCCAACTCGGCGAGAACCCTACTCAGCTTGGCCGACGGCGATTCATCGAGACTGTTGGTGAACGGAGCAGGTGGAGGTGATGCTACCACATCCTCTGCAGGCGCTGGCGCCGCTTCCTCCGATGTCTGTGCCGCCTCGATCTCCTCATCCTCGGTGTCCGTGCTGCTCAGAGCAGCATCCACAGACTTTTGGAATTCCTTGGGCACCCGCAACATAATCTTGGGCACAACCAACTTGGGAATGGGCGGCGCTGGGGGATCCTCGATAGGCTCGGGAGCTGGAACTAAAAGTAAAAGATTAAATGCGCTATTTCGAACTCTGCTTGACCTCTCCAACTCACTGTTCTCAACTGGATACATGTCCTGAGAAGCCTGATGTTGTGGGAACGGCGCTTGTGGCAGTTCCTGCGCCGGGATTTCTCCATGAGGTATATACTGCTGCGCCTGTGCCTGTACCTGTGGCGCGGGAAGTACCTGAGACTGGGGATTTACTTGCGGCGGCGGGGGATTTACTTCTGGCGGCGGCGGAATAGCCTGATCCGGCAGCTTGCGCGGCCTTCTCCTTCTCCTAATCGGCTTCCGCTTGCTGTTCCTGCAGCCCAGCACATGGCCACCTCTTTCGCCGCACAGGGCACACGGCTGCATCAGCTGGGAGCAGTCGTGTTCCTCAAACTCGGTGCCCTGGACGAAAGTGGTCTGGCAGGTGCAGCAGATCAAATGCCTCAGCCGATCCTCCTTGCCCTGCTGGGCGGCCCAAGCCTCCTTCGCGAAGTGGCTCTGGTCGATGTCATGCTTGTTCTCGAGATGCAACGAGAGCTTCTCCACGCTGGGGTACACGTGGTTACAATAGAGGCAGATGTAACGTTGATGGACCTCGCGCATGTGAAGGAAGAAGTTCCAGCACTGATGGACACTGTTGCACTGGGCGCAGCGGAAGAACCGCTCCTTCTTTAGGCGCGACGATCTGGTGCCGCTCGAGCTAGCAGTCTTCGCGTCACCTGAGCTAGCAGTCTTCGTGTCACCAGAGCTCGCACTCTTCGTGTCACCAGAGCTAGCAGTCTTCGTGTCACCAGAGCTCGCACTCTTTGTGTCACCAGAGCCCGAACTCTTCGAGCCGCTGCACTGAGCCTGGTGCTCGTTCAGCTGTTGGAAGCTCTCGGAATTGAACTGCAGATCACACTTGGCGCAGCTGAGCGGCCCATTAGTTGTGGATGTCGTTGGCGGAGCTTGGAGGCGTTGCAGAAGGAGCGAAGACGAAGAGGGACCGCTATCGTCCAACTTCATCTGCTTCTCGGGCTGGCTGCCGGTGGAACTTTTGCAGCGCCTGCGCTTCAAGGGCAACTTCTGGGATGGCACCCTGCTATTGTGCTCGCTGTCGGTGTGATCGATGACCAGCTGGGGCTGCGATGCGGAACTAACCGTGCTGCTGCCGCTGCTGGTGCTACCACTGCGGCTCCGAGTCGGAAGGAGCATAGGAAGGGCTGCGGCAGGTTCCACGCGAGCATCGGCTGTTGTTGCTGGTGGTGGTGCAGGCTCAACGTTATGAGTCTCTTCCGAGTGGTTTGTTATCACAGACAATTCTGGCTCTTGGCCTGGCTCTTCAATGGGGGCTTCCTGCTCTTGAGGTTCTTCTTCGATCTCGTCCTTTCCCACCTTTACCTCTGATTTCTTCTCCTCTTCCTTCGGTTCGGGATGCGAAGCCCCATTCAGCTTAATAGGCGACGGCGGATCGACGATAGATTCTTTAAAGCCTTCACTGGGAGCTTCAACTTTCGTCTCGGACTTGATTTGAACTTCAGGGGTTGAATCCTTCTCATCGCTGCTGGGGATATCCACGTCCATTGTCAGCGCCGGAGAGTCTTCTTCATCCGAGTCGACTTGAGGAGATTCCAAAGTGGGTGGCGGCGTTGCTTCTCTATCTTGGACGAGAACCGCCGCGGGGGACGAGGACACCTCAGCAGGTGCCTCTCTTGATGCCTCTGGTTCCTTATTTTCCCCATCACTATCCACCGCAGGACTTTTGGTGTCATTAATAGAAAGAAACTCTTCCGCCCCACTGTCAGTGTCGACATCGATGGGAGGTGGTGTCGCCTCATCCTCATTCTCCCTTTCAGACTCGACATTTTCAGGATGAGACGTTTTATGAACCTCTTCAAATTCGTTTTCTTCCTTCAGCTGCGGTTTGGCCTCTGGGGGCTCGAGTTTAGGCTCATCTTCCGATTCAGATAAGAACTCCATTTGATTATCACTTGGAGAATCTATCTCCTCGTCCAGCTCCGACTTTACTTTAACCTTCGATAATAGGTCCTTCTCTTCCAAAAGAATTGGACTGCTTTCTGGGATATCATCGTTCGGTTGCTCGACATCCTCATGCTCCTGCTGGGCTTCTTTATCATTCTGCTGGACACCCTTATCTTTAAGAGACGCATACTCATGCTGCTCCTGAACATCGTCCTCCAGCTGGGCATTATCATCCTGCTGATGGTCTACTTCATCCGTGGACTGAACATATTCTCCCGTCTGTTGATTATCTCTGTCCTTCTCTCCTTCAACTTGATCCTCTGGGTATTCCCCGGCATCTTCATAAGCTTCGCCGTCTTCCGACGCTTTCTCGTGCCCATCACTGCTGTCCTGGCCATTTGCCAGAGTCAAGTCTATCACGTCATGGGTGCTCCGAGTCTCCTCCTGCTCCTGCTCTTGCGCCGGTAAGAGTTTCTCGCTCGCCTCCTTCTCCACGCCCAGCGTATGATGAGGGTCTTCAATCTCGTCCTCCTCGCCGACAGCTCCTCCTGCTGCTCCATTCCCAGAGCCAGTTCCTGCTCCCGCTTCATCAGCATCCTGGTTAGACGTCGGCTTGGTTTGTTTCTTATCCAATGCCTCCATCATCTTTTGTGCATTTACACGCTGAGAATGAGAACCACAAAGACATTTACGATTAAACGCACCTTCTTGCCATAATAATTGCGTTTATTACCTTTGCATGCCGTTTGCCGTGATTCTGCCGTTCCGGTTTCCCCACTCACTTATACTCTCTCTTTCGTTGTTGTTCTCGGCAAAAAAGCTGAAAGCAGAATGAACCAAAATGTTGTTATTACGTGAAATAATAGGAACAAAAAATATCACACCAGAGAGAGAACCAAATACACGTATTTTATTTCTATAGAAGACAATGTTTATCCATATTTACGGGCAATATTTGCATTGTGCAAATCGGAATTGCAAATAAAAAAGAAACGAAAATCACCGGTCATTGTGTGTGCAGCCCTGGTAGCGAAATAATTGAAAATACCGAAAAGGCACACGAGAGAGCCACTAACGGCTAAAAATAAATAAAATTTACTTCAAATGTTCTTGGAATGATTTTACAATCGCACTCACGGCAATTATCCACGTTTATTTACCTGCTCTCCTCCTGGGATTGTCTCCTTAGGACTGTTTTTCCCTACTCTTGTTGTTGTTGTTGCTGCTGCTGCTGTACTTCTTGTAGGTAGAATTTTCCCCCCGAACGTTTCGGTCGAGACAGGGCGACGGCAAGGGAGAGGCGAATTTTACGCGCGCAAACCGCAAAATACAGAACAAACCGAAAAAACAACAACCGACGTCACGGAAGTTCGCTGCACAACTGAACCAAGAGGCCGAGAGATTTGCGGATTTTGCCGAGACCGAGACTGAACAAGAACGGAACACCCCTTGCCCCGGGTGTTTCCCCGAGCTCCTTGCTCCGCCGCCTTTTGCTGCTGCTTATACAATTAATGCTTAGTTTCAGATTCTATTTGTTTGTTTGTTTAATAACACAGAAATCGGGAAGGGGTTATGCAATTTCACAATTGCTAGCAATAATCTTTCCAAGCTCCAATGACGGTCAGAAGGAAATTTTCGTCTTTTCGCCCTTCTGCGCGTCTCGATTTCGGGGTATAAAATTTTCGTCTTTTTGCACGCAGCCGTCCACGCTTCGCATTTTTTGTTCTGCTCACTCTATTCGCCCACTGTTCCAATGCATTTTAACGATAAAATCTGACGGATACTGTTTGGATCGTGTATTGCATTAGTTTTCAAGGAAAAACACTCGAATTACTTGTAAAAAGCCGTTCTTTTGCAATATTTTTTGCTCTCACAGCCATCGAAAAAAACACGCGAAGCTAGTGGTCTAGGGATGTGAGTGGTTTCGATAACTCAGACAGCGTGCTTGTGCGACTGCCTGAAATCAACCCTGCTAGAAGCACCGCCCGTAACGATAGTTGCTGTTTACTGCCAGAATATCGATTATCAGACTTTAATTTATTGAATGCAGAAAACTTTGAATTAAACACTCATCTAACAACTGAAAAGATAATTTATTTACAAAATATGGAACCAACATGATATGAATTCAGTTTGATTAAGGAACTCATTAGGATTATTTTTATCTTTGGTCGCTATCGATAGTTTTCGCCGTCCCTAGTAGGGATGTCGAATTTTTTAAAATTATCGTATCGATAATATTTTCTGTTTTAAAAAAATATCAAAATGATATAAATATATATCGCTACTAAAAATCGATATATCGATGTTTTTGATATTTTTTTTTGTTTCCCAAAAAGTTTTTTAGAATATAAAATAATAGAAATAAAACACAGAAATTATTATTGCTGTTTAGTTTTTCTCATCTTTAGTTTTTTAAATTCATAAACATAACATTTGAAAATTATAAAGAAAACAAGAAAGAGAAGCTAACTTCGGGCGGAGCCGAAGTTGATATACCCTTGCAGTTAAAACCGGATATATATCGCAAACATCGGATATAGTTGGCCGATCCTTATGAGAATATGATGGGATAATTGGGAATATAACCCAATTTATTATAATACAAAAACCAAACCTAAAAATGTCCCAAACTTCTATCTTCAAAAACACAAAAGTTGGGTCATTTCCGATCGTTCAGTTATATGGCAGCTATAGAATATAGTCGGCCGATCCTAATGAAATTTGGTAGGTTGGATCAACTGGCCAAAAATATAATCTGTATTAAGTTTCAGCTTTCTATCTTCAAAAACACGAAAGTTGGGTCATTTCCGATCGTTCAGTTATATGGCAGCTATAGGATATAGTCGGCCGATCCTTATGAAATTTGGCACGTCGTAATAGTTTGCCAAAGATAGCTCTCGTGTCAAATTTGAACTCTCTAACTCTAAAAACACCAAAGTTATGTCATTTCCGATCAATCAGTTATATGGCAATTTGATCAAAGAGTGACCAACGCAGAAATATCAGATAATATCAAAAAAAACTATCGCACACTCGATATTTGGGGAAAAAAATATTACGATATAAATATATTATTTTTCCCAAAAAATATCGATATATTGATATTTTGATATATTATCAACAACCCTAGTCCCTAGAGTCACGTTGACTGTCATTTCGATTTGACAAGCTCTTTCCGTTTCCTTTTTCCGCGAACGTCCAACATGAAAGCCAAGGGATTGGTTAGTATTTAGAAAAAAATGATTAAAAACATAAAGTTTTGTGGCAGAAATGTTTGCAAACACATAGCAAAGCCTTAGGGTATCTGACGCAGAACTGTGAAAGTGGCTGAAACCCGCAATTTGTGTGAAAACTTCGCTGAAACCAGAAAGTGACTTCTGTCGCTGTTGGAAAAGCAAATGTGGCAGTTTTGGAGGCGAAAAAGATGTGATTCTTTCAGCCCGTTGAATGCAATACAGCTGCATTGAGTTCATACTAGGAATGGCAGCATTTTAAAATGTTGCTAACAAATATTTTGAAACCGCCGAGAACATAACCTCCAAGCGACTGGCATGCGTGTGTTTGTTTGCCTACATTTCTGGCCGACTTTGTTTACTGCAAGAGTTCTTGACTAAAACGTGCTCCATTTTCAGTTGAAGGAGTACGAGGTCGTGGGCCGCAAGGTGCCAACCGAGAAGGAGCCCCAGACTCCCCTCTATAAGATGCGCATCTTCGCTCCCGATAACATCGTGGCCAAATCCCGCTTCTGGTACTTCCTGCGCCAGCTGCAGAAGTTCAAGAAGACCACCGGCGAGATTGTGTCCATCAAGCAGGTGTACGAGACATCGCCGATCAAGATCAAGAACTTCGGTATCTGGCTGCGTTACGACTCCCGTTCCGGCACCCACAACATGTACCGCGAGTACCGTGACCTGACCGTCGGCGGTGCCGTGACACAGTGCTACCGTGACATGGGTGCTCGTCACCGTGCCCGTGCCCACTCCATCCAGATCATCAAGGTGGAGTCGATCCCCGCCGCCAAGACGCGCCGCGTGCACGTCAAGCAGTTCCACGACTCCAAGATCAAGTTCCCTCTGGTCCAGCGTGTGCACCACAAGGGCAACAGGAAGCTGTTCTCGTACAGGAAGCCCAGGACCTACTTCCAGTAAAATGGATAGGATTTACCCGCATCCGATTGACTATAACATAGTGGTTTTTTCAATAAATGAGTACGTTGAAGAGTAAATATAATAAGGTGACTTTATTTTAGTTCGCCACAGGCGTAGATGACAATTTTCTGGTTTGGTGTGCCGGATTTGGTGCCACATCGTTCCATCTTGCGGACAACATCTGCCCCGCTAATAACGTGACCGAAAACCACATGCTTATTGTCCAACCAGTCGGTTCTGTGAAGGGAAATGTATTAAATTAGGTTTTAACTTTGTGGACGTACAACGTACTTGGTGGTGCAGATGAAGAACTGTGAGCCATTTGTGTTGGCTCCCGAATTGGCCATAGACAAGGTACCAAAACTATTGTGTTTCAGGGTGAAGTTCTCGTCATTAAACTTTTTTCCGTATATCGACTTGCCGCCTGTGCCGTTGTTGTTGCTAAAGTCGCCTCCTTGGCACATCTTTCGAAAGAAAATGGGGGGGGGGGTTAAAAAATTGCGTATTGGGTTTCTATCTATTTGAGTCTTACAAACTCTGGAATCACGCGGTGGAAGGAGCAGCCCTTGTAGCCATAGCCCTGCTCATGTGTACACAACTGGCGAAAGTTTTCCGCCGTCTTAGGCACCACATCTGCACGGAGAAGCATCACGATGCGCCCGGCATCGTTCCCGCCTATTCTTACATCGAAGAACACTTGTGGGTTGCGTTTCTCGGCCTTTTCAATGACGGCGGGTCCTGTGGAAGGGGTCTCTGTTTTCTCTTCCTCTGGACCGCCCTCCGGCTGCAATGTAGCACCAGCATGCTTCTGCAACCAGTCGTCATCCGCCCAAACGGGCTTGAAACTGTCTTCTTTCACGCGCACCGGCTTGGCCAGATTAACGCGTATTGTCCGGCCACACAGCTCAGAGTCATTCTAAAAGAAATGAAGTGGGTTTAGTGGTTTTTATTAATATTTTCAGAGTAGTTTCCTTTACCATGTTGTCAATGGCAGAGGCGGCATCTTCTCCTTGCTCATATTCAATAAAGGCGAAGCCTCTGTGGCGCTGCGATTCGTAGTCCACAGGCATTTGGATGTCCGCAATGTCACCGAATGGTATAAAGGCATTGTTGAGCAATCTCTCTGTAACTTCGTCAGCCAGGCCGCCGACATAAACCGTTCGCTTATCGTTAGACATGACTGAGTTTCCAAATTAAAAATATACAATATATTTGTTTACAATTGTTTGGTTAGTGTGACCATAAATGGCCATATGAGCTCTGAAATTTGCCCCAGCCTATCGATTGTAATCAAATTTTGACTCGAGTATCGATACTTTTTAGATCTTCCGCTTTTTAGATCAGTGATCAAAAAACACCCAAATTCAAACGTCATGACCGTTACATTTAAAATTATTTATTATTATAGATAAGTTATACTAAGATTATGTTAAGACTGTCGTCCCACTTTCGTTTCCACATAAACCCTCGCTATTCGTAAGGCATGTGCTTGTGAGATTTTGCACACTCAGGGGCCATAGCAGGTGGAAAACGCTCAAACAGTAGCCGGGAATATAGGCAAATGTAGCGTACAGGATTAGAGAAACGCAGCTGCCGAGAAGAACATCTACAAAAAATAATATAAGACTGGTTAGATTAAAAGTACTCATATTGAGATTTCGTTCAACTAATTTTAAAATAATTAAAAGTTAGCAGTGGGTCGCCTGTTCGTGTTTCCATGACTAATTCCTAACCGAACTGACCGGCATAGATAAGATACTCCAATATCGGTGCGCCAAAGACAAAAGTGAAGACACCGTAGTAACGACATGTAAAAAACTGGTAATCAGCTCTCGAGAATGGGGGTGTACTTACTGCAAAACACCTTCTCCCACGGTTCACATATGGCGATTTGGGTGTTCAGTTCATAGAGGAAATACAGCCATTTCACATAGCGCTTGAATTTTGCATAATTCTCGGAAAGCATTGGGAACATTCTGAACTCAGCTGGCAATCAGGCGATGGGCGGTTAATAGAAGTATCGACGGTTTCAGGGTGCGCGACGAACTAACCCGAACCTGCCTCCGGGTGAAGTGAGACACCTGTGCGGTGCCTGTGTCCCCGTCATTCCTTATCACAGAAGCCATATTTTTTTGTTTGTTTTTTCGACTTTTTTTTTATAAATTCGTATACATATACATTTTTTCGGCTGTAAACCAAATTAAATAGATTTCGGCTTCGGTTTCTTGTTTGCCGCTGTTAGGCGAGCGATAAAAATCAATCGTCCGCTATGTTACGCCTGCACCCGAAAACCGTTTCGGTCTTATCACCTCAGTACGGATCCCCACCTGGCAGGGGGATTGCCTCCGGCATTTGATTTTTATTCTTTGGCCTATGACTCAGCCACCGGCTCACACCACCAGGGGCACCATTGCCAGCAGAAAGAGCCAAACGGATATCACGTCATTGGAGTGAGCGTGGAGGTGCACCGCCACGCAGAACTCGACATCCGAATGGTTGTTGTAGTGGATGCAGGTCGTCCGTATGCGCTCCGAAATGGCCGCCAGATTTGTGTACGCAAAGTTGAGGGTGAAACCATAAAACTGTAAGGGTGGAAACAGGGGTTTAGTGATTGATCGTGATAGTGATGGATCGGGAGGGTGGCTTTGATTACGAGCCATGATAGCTTCCATGGTTAGTAAGCTATCAATGGAGAATTCGATATAGAGGTTGTGTTACTTCTAGTGTTAGTTTATCAAGAAATTCTGATATCTTTGCTAGACGACCAGCAGTGTATAAATTCATATATTTATTATTGTATTCCACTTATCTAGACTGATTACATTGTAATCGAGGCACTTAAAAAAAATGAAGTGCAACCAGAATCACTTTCTTTCGACTAATGTTCTGAATATTCGTCTGATTGAGTTAGTCAATCAAAATGATTTAAAGATTAAAGACTAAGATATTATTCATTTAATTTATATATTTAAGGCTTCTTATTCAGCCATGGTACTTACTTTATAGTTGGGGTACTCTCGTTCCAGTTGCTCACTAAAGGCGGGTTCATCATAACAGCCCCTGGAATATGTGGCTATATGTTCCATTTCGCACAAGATCTGATACAATTGAGGTTGAAAAGCCCTAAAATTAAACAAAATACTTATATTCAAAACCTCAGAACAAAATTTTCGATCGATATTTTTCCAATTTTTCTGATGGAACCCCTTGCAAGAATCCAGGATTCATAAAGTGGCCCTTTCGATTGTCTATATCTTTGCTAATTCTTATCCGATCCTTGAGTGGAGTACCTTTAACGATTTCTAGATCGATTCTCCGTCATTCTGCATCAAAACCTCAGAACAAAATTTTCGATCCATATTTTTCCAATTTTTCTGATGGAACCCCTTGCAAAAACCCAGGATTCCCAAAGTGGCCCCTTCGAATAGATATATCTTTGCTAATTCTCATCCGATCCTCGAAAGGAATACATTAAATGATTTCTAGATCGATTCTCCATCATTCTGCATCAAAACCTCAGAAGAAAATTTACGATCGATATTTTTCCAATTATTCTGATGGAACCCCTTGCAAAAACCCAGGACTCTTAAAGTGGCCCCTTATAATGTCTATATCTTTGCTAATTCTCATCCGATCCTTAAGTGGAATACCTTAAACGATTTCTAGATCGATTCTCCGCCATTCTGCATCAAAACCTCAGAACAAAATTTTCGATCGATATTTTTCCAATTTTTCTGATGGAACCCCTTGCAAGAATCCAGAATTCTTAAAGTGGCCCCTTCGAATGTCTATATCTTTGCTAATTCTCATCCGATCCTTGAGTGGAATACCTTAAACGATTTCTAGATCGATTCTCCGTCATTCTGGATCATACCCTTTCTATAAAACCAAGCCATACTTAAAAGTATACTAACCGATTCCAAATAGTCTTCCTAGTGGTTCTCCAGGCACTGATTTTCTTCGTGATCTTGCGTTCTATATCCTTTTGAAGCTGGGTAAGGTCATGACTCCTTTTGTACATGTAATCCAGCTTGTGGACACCGCCGTGTGGGGCTCGAATTCTGCGGACAAAGAGTGGAAACCAACAGGTGTTATCCTGGAGATTGAAATTGGTCATGCTGACTCGGGTCTCCGTTTGGATGTTGAAGTAAATCTGCGATGGATCATAATTATTTTTTGGTGAAAGGACAAGAGTCATCACTTACGTTATGCTTGCCGACCAAACAAAAAAGACGCCTTAAAGGACAATAGACATCCTGCAACTGGTATCGTTTTCCTGTGGCAGGAGCCACAACAAAAAGCTCAGACGTCTCTGGCTGACGGTAAAGCACGAAGCTACACTCGCCGTGAGGACATGCCATGCCCAGGATTAGCCAACACTCCAACCCCAACGAAAGCATATAGTTACACAGCAGGACACCAAGATCCTTCACGGAACACCAGGTGCTGTCGAGAATGCTTTGGTTGTCCAGCCAAACCCCACGGAATCCTTGACACGGATCATAGGTACGCAGTTGGCTGAGCAGGGAAACAAACCGACAAGCTGCCTCCACAGGATTCTCCCCCACGCCCACAGCTGGCGGCAAGGGTATTGACTCCAGGAGCCGGGTAAGGCACACCCGTTTTCCCTGGGCCGTGCACACCAGGGGCTCCACAAAACGCTGCGGTTGCGGCAGCAGTTGCATCAGATCCAGTTTCCGTTCTTCAAGGTAGATCTGGAGCTCCGGCTTTTCGGCACAGGCAAGGGCATTGGACTGCAGTGGCGTTACATCCGCTCCTCCAGGCTCGATGCTGAGGTAGAACCACAAATGTACCGATTCCTTGAACTCGGGGTACTGATCCGTGGACATGTTGGTGACCGAGTCGATTAAGGGACGTTTGTAGCCCACCAGGACTTTGGGCATGGCCATCTCAATACAGCCCTCAAACTGGAAATAAGAAGGATTAATACGTATACCCACCTAGGATAGGATAATACCAACCTTCCTGGTGGCCAGGAGACTGTTGATGGGCACCCGGAACTCCCCCAACCAATTGCATTGGACTCTCTGGTATAGATCGGACGCCTCGTCGCTGTATTGCTGCTCTATCTGTTCATCGAACAAACTGATCTTGAGGTCATCGCGAAGATCGCCAAACTGGGTGCTGATCTGCAGCTGCAGTTGCTCATTCCAGGTGGGATTACTGCCCTCAGCAGTGCGGCTCCTGCACAACCGTTGTCCATAGCTGAGGGTCACAAACGGACGCACGTTCGAGTACATGAGAGCTGGGATGGAAATCAAGGGTATCAGAAATAAACCATGTCACTAGCCAGGATAAGTATACTAATACGTACTTTGGGTCACAAACAAACTGGTGGACATGTCCCCACCCGCACTGGTCCTGCGCTCGTTGATGTTTAGAATATGCCGACTTCTAACTGGCACGCCCGTGGCTCTCACCACATGCAGGGATACGCTAAAGCGCTGGAAGAGATTATCCTGTATCTGAGGTCCAGTCCAGGCCGCTGGCTCCCTTGGCAATGTGACCGGTTGTTGCCCCTTGAAAACGGAAACCAGAGCTCTCCACAGAGCTGCCCAGCCAGTAGCCGAGGAGAGATCTGAGTTTTCGGCCAGCAGCAGTAGAGGCACTGGAGTCTGGAGAGCCTTCGCTCGGCGGGCACTCTGACTGCCGATCACCTCGTACAGAAGCTGGAGGAACTTGCGGCCGCGGTGCTTGTGCAGATCGATGGGATTCCAATAGGTGCCGGGCTCCAAAAGCGTACCCATACCCCGGGAGTCGGGCAGAGGCTCCAAATCCGTGATCTCGTTCTCCAAAGCGGGCACAAATCGCAGCTGTTTGGTATGGAAATTCTTTTGCTGATGACGGGAATGCAACAAATGGAATCTCCGATTCTCCACGAGCTCATCGATGGAACAGAACTGGAGCTGCTGGTCCCAGAAGATTAGGGGCGAGTGATGCTTGTTGGGTTTCCTGTACCTTTCAATGGGGGGCCTGGGACTAACGGGCTCCTTGGAAGCCTCAGGCATCGGCGGGAGTTTCGCGGGCAACAGACTTTGACGCAGGGGTTCTGGGAGTCGCTGGACATCGTCCAGAGCATGGACATCCTGAGTTCCTCCATTTCCCTCTGTGGTACGGTAGTCGTAGCTCACATAAACATCACCAGCTAATTGGGAAGAGGATGATTTTGAGGTTTGGAAGGCCATCTTTTCATGAACGCCCTCGTCCTTGCGGCTTAGGGTCAAAGGAGCACTCATTTCGGCCAGGCGGCGACTGTTGGGAGTCAGGGTGGACTTCTCATAGAGCTGGAAAGATAGGAGTTTTAAAGAGGGTTTTGGATTTAAGAGGATTTCATTCTATTAACCCACCCAAATGTGCAGGCTTCCTGGCAATGTCATTTCCAGCAGAACTCCGATGCACTCGTTGATGGGAATCTGCAGATCCGGCTCCAGCCGATAGCTCCTGGTCTGACCCACAATCTCGTCATCCAGAAAGATCTTAAGAAAGTAGTTTCGAGCCCTTGGCGTCTGCTGGCTACTTGGAGTCTGGATCCTGGCAGCCGCCTCATCCGCGTGCAGGCGAATGACATCCACGAATGGCTCCTCGGGATCCTTAAAAGCCTTTTCGTATTCCTTTTTCAAGCTCGCCATGATTCGGTCGAATTGTGGCTTACGAGGAGGCTTTGTCCGGGAGGTCGACCCACGGCTGGAGTTCTCCTCGCTCCATAATCGCCGTCGGCAGTAAAAGAGCTCGAGATGCTCCCGGTAGACCTCCGCTAGATCCGTTTCAAAGCTCTCCTTCCAGGCAGAATAGGAGGCCTCCAGGTCAGAAGGGTGGGTCACTCGGAGGCTTAGTTGGAAGCGAGTGCATTGGAATCTTTGCTGACGACGCAAGGCCTTCAGCTTGGCCCAATCTCGGAGCAGCTGCTTCAGGAGATTCCGCTGGGTGGCGGACTCAGCGTAGTATCGCTCTCTGAGCTGTTTGGTGAGCCGCAATTGACGCTTCACCTCCGACGTCTGATCCTGGCCGGCCGAGTGAAGCAACCTGGCCGCCACCTGGCGGGCTATCTCCAGTTCCTCCCTCAGCTTCTTGCAAATCTTTAGTTTCCTTTGCTGGTTGTAGACGTCATACAGATCCTCCAGCTGCTGGGCCAGCTCATGCTCTTCCAGGAGCAGGGGATGAAAGCTGAAGCGGATTCGCTTCAAGTTCAATTTAAGACACCGACGGGTGGGCAGACCCTGGAAAAACTCCCGGGGCATGGGCTCAAAGAATACGCTCTTGAACTCCTTGTGGCATACGCTGCGATAGAGCTCCCCGTCTAGTAGGAACTCTGGAGGATTCACATCGCTGAGCTGGGCTACCAACTCAGAGCTCAGTTTATTAAATTCACTCTTGGCCTGCTCCTGGAAGCGATTCAGCATACGGATCTGGGCAAGGGTCAACTGAGCGTCGCTCAGGTGGAGCTGGAAGTGCAGGACATTACTCGGCCGGTATAGCAGGCTCTCGTCGTAGTAGTGGCGCTGCTTATAGAGCTGGTTCCAGACCAACGGCTGGAGATCTATTTGGATGAAGGTATGGTTGGAGGACTTTGAAGCCTCCACCGTCGTTTCCTCGCCCGAATCTTCATCGGTTTCCAAGGCGCCCTTAGTGTCGGCTTCCGACTGCATATGCTCCCTCTCTTGCTGCTCTTCAATATCCTCCCCATGGAAAAAAAGCAAGCTGAGTGCCTCCGCGTCGTATTCCTGCCCAGAAATACGCACTTCCCGGAGCAAGGACTCCACTTCTTGCTCCCTTCTTTTGTACGACTTTGTGGTCTGGGTTTTACGTTTCTTTTTTATGGTTTTCTTCGGTGAAACAGAGTCCATGGTTGCGACTACACCACAGTTAAAACTAACTAATGACAAGGACGTAGACTATTTATAATGGCAGGGGTTACTATGACAACTGCTGGTGGTTGCTATAGCAATAAAAATCACAAAAACACCAAAATACATATTTTGTTTTCGTTTTCTTTTTGCTGTTTACATACAAATACATTGCAAATCTACTTTTAAGCATACTGGAAGGATAATGCTAATTAATGATGGTAAGTTGTTCGCGGTTTAAAGTTGGTTATCGAAAATTTCTATGTTTCCCCGGTGCTGGTACTTTATGACTTATTATTCGTATATTGTATGTATAGGCAATGTATCCGATTTAGAGTGGTACAAAAGCAGACGCGCTACTGTCTTGGATAACGTATTGAGACCCTGGCATCAACCAGGGCGAAGTAGTAGACGCGTCCCGGACACGAAACGTAAGAAGACAGATTCGCTTCGATTCGGGGCGATCGTGTGGCGAAGATGACGGGGGTCGTCTACTCCAGCAGGGTTATTTCTTCCTTGACTAAAAATTCAACAATCTCCTCATCCACCTCCTCGGTTTCCAAGTTATCTGTATCCACATCTGATGGAAAGAAAAGATTAATAATATTAGTTTCTTTTTTAATGAAATAATCATGAATGGGAAACTTACGCCCTCGCAGCATGACGCGTCGACTCTTCTGGTCCTTCCATTCGGCAATGCGTTTGTTGCGGTATTCCATAAAGGTCTCGCGCAGCTGGGAGCGCTTCTCGAGCAGCTCCTTGGAGGCACGGGTAAGGCGAAGACGATCCTTCTGCTCGAAGACGGCGTAGTACTTTTTAAGGTTCTTCTTGATCTCCTTCTGCTTCTCCTCTGCCAGCAGGGTGGGGGGACGTGGGCGCCACAGGAACTGTACAAAGTTCTTGAGGATTGTGCGCTTAATGATGCGGCCCTGGAACGTGTACATGTTGAAACCGGTATCTTCCTTCACCTTCCATGATGAGACACCAGTCACAACATAACGTCCAGTGGGATCCCACTCGACTTCAGAGGCGCGGAAGTGATCAGGCGAGGCGCTAATGATGTAATCATTGGTCGAGTCCACAAACTCGAAGGTGCCCATCGTGAGGTTAGCCATCACGATGAATTGGCCGCGCGGCGACCAGAACAAATGCGTGCAGGACTTCTTCTCCAGACGTTTCACCAGGCTGGGCTTGACGCCCTTGTTTACCTCATAGAAACTGACGTTGGAGGAGTTGGGCTCGCCGTGGATAATGGAGAACTTGTTGCCGATGGGCTCCCAGGCGAAGGCCAGGATCAGCTCGCGGATCTCCACCGAGTCGACAGGGATCTCCTTCTCGCGCATGTGGAAGATTTCAAAGTTGTAGAACATGCCCAGGAATTTCACGTCCAGCTCCTTCTTGTCCTTCTTCAGCTTGGAGTAACGATCCACCTTGACGCAGAGATAGTCACCAGACTTTTGCCAGTGCAGCTTGCAGTCGGCCACGTGGAACAGGTTCTTGTTTCGGATCTCGCGCTTCTTGGGGATCTCCATCAGGGTGACACGGGCGGGAATCTGGTTCTGCTCCTCCACCCAGTAGGCAATCACGTTGTCCGTCGGCGACCAAGAGAATCCGCGGATGCCGGGGATCTTGATCGACTTCAAATCAAGCAGGTAGAACGAGGGCGTCTCGTAGATGTGGATCGAGTTCTCACCCATGCGGGCCACAAACTTGTCATCGTGCGACCAGCGGAACATGGACAGCACCGACATACCGTCGGCAACGAACGAACGCTTCTCGGCTCCAGTACGGATGTCCCAGATGATGATCTTTTGTCCCGTGGGCGTGGGGCCGTAGGTAACCAGATAGTTTTCGCAGGGCGAGAATTCAACGAACTGGGTGCCGGGATGGGGGAACTTCTGAATCTTCTGGAAGTTGCTGCCTCCCCAGATGGCTACACCAGGCTTGTGGAAAGTGACCACATAAGTTCCCAGAGGCGACCACTTGACGAAGGTATCAGTAAACCGTTCGCGGGTCTCCAGCTCACTGGGCTCAGGCAGGGTATTCTGCCAGAAGCCCACTTGCACGCAGTTCGGGGCGGTCTCAGCGGCAACACAATATTGATCGTACGCATCGGGATCGTTGATGAAGTTGTACAAATCGCTTTGTACTTTGAAGGTCTGAATGGTTGGAGGCTCCCACTTTTCCGGGATGTTCTCGTACCTATAGAACAAAGATATCGGATTCAATATTAGAACACCTGTTTAATACAGAACCTCTCGGAAAACTCACTTCTGAAAATCGGTAAACAGGTTGACAGCAAACGTGTGGTTCTTATCCAGGCGGTGGTTGTTCAGCTTCTTAACTGCATCCTCTGCCTGGCTGGCATGCTTGTACTCCATGAAGGCATAGCCCTTGGTCTTTCCTTCCTCATCGACGGGGTAGACTACGTTGACAATGTCACCGCAGTGAGAGAAAAGCTTGTTGATGACAGACTTGAGTTTCTCCAGACGCACCGGCTCCACCTTGGGGATGTTATCCACCACCACAACGCTTTCTACGCCGTCCGCCTCCGAGGGGCGCTGGGCCAGCATGTCGCCGAGCAGATCTGTAAGTGCATTTCGCGAATTAATGAATGTTTCTATGCAAAGCCGCAGCCCACACCGCAAAGTGAGGTTAGATTTCCGCGTGTGATGCGCTGGCAGCGACCAAACTCACCTTCATCGCTGATGGTGTCCACAAAGCCGGGAGGATCCTCAAAGTTTGGTTCTTCATTATAGTCGCTGTCGTTGGCGTCGGCGCCCGCATGCTTTTTGGCCATTTTCAGCGATCTATTTGCAAATTTCCGTCATCAAACACACACGCACAAAGTGAAAAAGAAAGTAGGGTTGTCAACAATAAAAGAAACTATTAAAATATCGATAAGTGTATGACCATGGTTAAACTATGACCGCCGAGGGTCGATATATTATAAAAAGTGTGTTAAAATAATTATTTAATATTGTCATTAACTGCATTTAAATAAATTTATTATATTAACGAGGTTTGTTTTTAAACGATTTAATAATTAACAAAATTCAACATATTAGTGAGGTTTGTCTTGAAAAGATACATTTTGTATCGATAGCTTCGATAGATATTTTAAAAGGTTTGATGGACCTGTTTCGACTATTTAGTAGTTTCCATAAGATACAAATTAGATAAGAGATAATTGTTTTATATAATAGATTATTGTTGAATAAAGAGATAAAATATCGGGGAAAAATATCACAGGGTGATTAGTTAGATACAAATGTATCGGCATACATCAAACTGTTTGCAGCATTGGCAAGCTCGGTCACTCTGGCACAAACGGCGCAATTAGAGGAAAATTGTGAAAATATCTGTAATGTGTTAAAACGCCCATCGAAGACCGCACAATTGTTGCAGATACGGCGCGCAATCAGCACAAGTAAATGAAACTAAACGCGATGTGAGGGTGTCGGTAGTTGACTGGGAAATTCGTTTTTCGTTGCCCACGAATTGCGTCTGCCCTGGCGTGTGTGTATGTGTGAACGAACTGTGCGTGTGTGTGTGCCTGCGCGTAATTAAACAAAGTACATATTTCCAAGTTACATATTTCAAAGACAGAAAAAGAGACTCCAAGCGACTGCTCCCCATTTCCTTCCTCACACCCCCCGCCCGCCCTGACTCCCACTCCCACTCCATCACCAAGTGCAAAGCACGCACACACCTGCGCCAAAATGCAGGTGCAGGAGCAAAGGGCAGTGCATAAAGTGCATGTCGCTGGGCTGGTGCGGTAAACAATTACCAATCGGACGGAAAATCTGTGAAAATTTTTAGCTCTATGCAGTATTTTCGCATGCATGTATGTATATGTGTATGTAAATATGAAATATGTAAAGGCAGCAACAGCAAGCAGCAGCATAGGCGAATACACACATGGAGAAAATCGCCCAAAAAACTTTCTGCGCAAGGCCGCAGAAAAGTGGCCGAGAGGCACAGGCACAGGCTCTCTCTCTCTATCTCTGTGGCTCGCGTCTCGCCAGGCGAGAGCGAGTGGGTGGGCTGTGGGCTGTCGGCTGTGGGAGAGAGCTGGGTGCCTAGCCTTGGTTGGCCCAATGTATGAATGAATTTTCGCTTTTGCCAATTTTATGTTAATAAAACGTCACTGCTGCCACAAAACTAACAAGTTATAGCCATTAGAAGTCATGCAGAAGCAAAAATCATAGATCGGTTAGTGATTCCGATTGGTAATTGCCGTACAGACTCCCGATTCAAGCCTCTCTCTGCTCAGCTTTTCTCGAGGTGCTCCGAGGCTTGTTACATCTTTTGTTGCTTGGAAGAGTGGTGTTGGTGTTGGTGTGCGTGCGTGCGTGCGGAGTTTTCCACTGTGTGTTTGTCTACACGCCCACATAAGTGGCCCTGTTTGTGTATTTGGGAAAGTAAAAGTGATTCTCGATTTATGGTGCTGCTTTCTCGCTGTTGTGCCACACCAACAAAAAAATAATCGAAAGAAAACCCCAAATAGAAAGCTCCTCATCATCAACAACAATTAATTATTGATGTTCGTTCGTTCGTTCTCGCCCCCCCTTTCCACGAATCTAGTGAATGAATAAACCGGAAACTGTCGCAAGACCCGACTTTGTGCCAAAATAATCAAGGATCCGCAGATACAGATAACCTACTCCAACCACCCCTACGCCCCCCGTCAACGACAGAACAACAACATCCGAAGAGGAAGAGGAGCCAGCCTATATATAATACAGATATAACCAAAACTACTTGCTACTGCTGCTGTTTGGTCGTCGTCGTCGTTGTCGTTGTTGTTGTTGTTGTTATCCTTGTATCCTTTTTTTCCGGAACGTTTGTGCAGCAGCAGCTCTGAATGTCTTTATGCTTTAATCATGGTGTATTTCGCCACCAACAACAACAACACCGACACTATACGCTGCTATATTAGAATCTTTCTGATAACGAACCATGACAGAAGGACATGAAAGGTGAGTTTATGACATATAAAGTAGTTTTAAGGATTTATTCATTTAAATAATAATTTTTTAAGTTATTTTGTAGAAGCCAAGCTAAGATCTCAAGACCCTTAGAGTTAGAAGGATCAGCCCAGCCTGTAGGGCCATACGATCTTGTAGTGCCTCGAGTAGTAATTGCTTCCAATTGTCGGGCTTTTGAAAACAAACTGATATGGACAGCCAATGAAACGCTTATTAATTGAACCGACAAGCTGTTCTTTTTTTTTATTTTTTCCTCGCATTCAATGAAATAAATTTAATGAATGAATGAAAGAAGGAAGAAGCCGTCAGTCAGTGAGTCACTGTCTAGCAAAATAAAGAGTCTCCACATTGTCTGTCGACACTTTTAATGAATGAAATGGAACGCCCCCATGTGCGGTTTCTTCGCTTCAGGGTCCAATAATTGCCGTTGTTACGACTGGCTACTGGCCTGGCGCTGTTCCGATGTTCCCGATGTTCGGCTATTCTAGCTCTTTAAATTCTATTCGAAAATGATGTCATTTTTTGTGTTTGTCCGTTTGTTGTTTTCTTTTAGTATTTACACCAAAAAGGGAGGACGTGGTGGGGGGGGAGGGGCCTGCGCAACAAGAACAAAAGCGAGAAAAAAAAAAAGAAATAAAAACATAGCACCCCAAGGTTCTTATAGTTTTCATTCATGCCTTGCTATTTTATTTGAGTTTCTATAATGAATTGATATTTTTGCTTATAATGGGTGTTTTTTTTTTTAGAGGAAGTGGTTCTTAAATTTTAATAAATTTGACTTAATTCTTGAAGATTATTAGAATTAATATTTTATTTAGTTTTTTAAAAATATATCCTCTATTTGGAACACCCTGTCATGTTGCATTGCTCAGTTCCAGCGGAAACCGATTCTATTTTATTTTATTTTTGTTGTTATTTTTTTTATTTAAAAGTATGTAAATAGGTAACTGTAAATGGGAACATCATGTCCACGCGACACGGATGATATGCAAATATATGCCAGTCGGAGCATGTCTTGTTTGGTTGGATTTCTGACAATGGAGCCATCACAACTATTTGACCATTTAACGGGGTGCTGTGTATTGGAACTTTTTTGTTGTTGTTGTTGTTGTTGCCTCTCCGTCTATTGTGTGGGCTTGCAACACCAACCAACCAACCAACACTAACGTTGGCCAATACACACACACACACTGAGACCTCACTGAGAGCGTTGTTCATTCATCTTTTTCTGGTTTCTGCTGCAGAAGTTACCTTTTGCGAGTGGGTGTGTGTCTGCCCTGCCTCTCAGTGTGTGTGTGTGTGTGTGTGTGTGTGGGAGTATTTAAGCCATTCAGTTGGTAACAAAGTTTGAGGAGAGCCAGCCGAGCATCACCAAGCCAGGTACTGCCAAGTCGGGCTGGCAAATCAATGAATGTTGGCTAGAAAACCAGAAAGTAGTTAGTTAAGTTGGTTCCAAACAAGGTCCAGATCATACATAGAACTGCCCCACACACACACACACACAAAGGCATGCCAGCTCTCTCCCTTTTCCCACGCATGCGCTGATGATGTCCTTTCGAAGAGAGCTTCCAAATATTGATAGACTTTTAGTTTCGGCTTGAGGCAGGCTCTTCTAGACTTTTACCATCTAAATATATATATACATATATATATATGTATGTATGTGTGTATTATTTTTATGTTTGAAGGAGTTTGTGGTTTCTATTTTAGTGTCCGACTACACCCAGGTCTTGAAGAATAACTATGCTTAGTGCTAAAGCTTTAGGTCCTTTAGTGTCCTTCCCAGTCAGTCTCTCAATGAATACCCCGTTTGGCCCTGGGATAGTTTCCTTTCATTCACACTGGCCCCAAAATCCTTGACTAGCTGACGTAGCTGAATGAAAATTATTTGAAAGCATGGCCACGCCAGTCCTTGACATGTCCTGGCTTCTATAGTCTCCATGCTCTGTGACGTCGCGACGACAATATTCATTCTGTAAAGCCCAGAAAAACTAGGACAACCATGTGTATATGACACACACACACACCCCCTCCTTCACCATCTATTCACAAGCACACACACACAGACATACATAAATCCTCAATGCAGACACCAGAATGGAGTTTGAAACTCCCTTTCTGGAGCTTTTTTCATTCAGTAACCCCATTTGCCCGGGAACTCTGACTTTATTCAACGGCGACGACGACACAATTTATTCAAAGTTGTGCGCAGGTCGCTAAACTCCATCGGGTGACCCTCATTCATAAGGCGGAGGAGAGTAGCTTATCCCAGAACTGGAGTTGCGACCCGTTTTCCATTTTCAAGAATGAATACAATCCCCCCCAGCCGGAAGTTCCATATCATTTTGCACTTTTACACTTTAAGAAAATACTATCGAGGGGCTTTCTTTCATTACTTATATCACTACCACTTGTTGATGCTTATAATAGTAATTTTTCCCAGTGCATGGCATTTGTATTTTTAAACCGAAGGACTTGCAGTTATTTTTAGTGGCCATTCGAGCTTGGATGAATCAGTCGGCAGGTGGCAACTGCCATCCTTGCTACGGCTTCCTTGGCCAAAAAATTGAATTAGCCAAATTAGCGGCACTTTTAGGTTATCCCAGGGAAGATATAGAGCTAAATAAGTTGTGTCCGAGGATACATTCGTTGAGAACCATTGCCGATTACACAATGGCTACCGTATCCTATACCAAACTGAAACGCAGAGCTAGCAGGTGTTTCATACTTTTAGTTACTGATCAAATAGTAATACATATACTAATAATTATAATTTCTTTTAATTTCTTGCAGCGACTTCTTAGTTACAGTACGCGCACAGGTAATGACCAGAGACGAGAGCACCGAGGGCTGGCTTCCGCTGGCCGGGGGTGGCCTGGCCAACGTTTCCATCCGGAAGCGGGCTAGGCTATCCCCACTGGCATCGGGTCATGACTACATCATCTATGGACAAAGGATATCCGATCAGAGCGTAAGTTTTTCCATCCTCACAAGCAGATTAGAACCATATTTTTATAATTGGGTATTTGTTTCAGGTAATCTTGAGCTGTGTGATCAATCGTGATCTGAAGTATTACAAAGTAATGCCCACATTTCATCATTGGCGCGCAGGGAAGCAGCGGAACGGGCTCACTTTTCAAACGGCCGCCGACGCGCGAGCCTTCGACAAGGGTGTCCTGCGCGCCTACAACGAGCTGATCGATGGTAAAATCCAGACCTGGTCGCCCCCGGCTCCATCCTCTCTAATTTCTAGTTGCATGAATGGCTTGCCTCCCATCTATATCTCTCTGCTTTCTGCTTTCATTTTGCGAACATAAATCCTGCTCACCTCTCTTACCAAGAAAAAAAAAAAACAAAATGATCTATCCTTTCTTTCTTCCGAACCTTTATTGCTACTGCCTCGGCATTCGCTTTTGTTTACTAATATATATTTATATATAATATCTTTTCGTATGTCTTATGCTCTACTTTTGCCACAAAACCAAACAATTATCAAAAACAACCACACACAATCACATTGGATTATTGCAAATTTGTTTCAAAAACCAAACAAATCAACCAAACAATTAAATCTATCATTTTAAACGAATTGGTAAGTGTTCCATGAGGCTTTCGTACTCTTAACTAGTCTATGTGTGCTGTTTGCTTTGAAGGATTCCATCCAAAAGTGATTCTATCCACTAGTTCCGCAAGCACTTCAAAATTTCCAGCACATGTATTCGAGCAATAGTGTAGTTCTAGTCCACAACTGTAGGTCACCCCTTTCATCAAGCTACTTTCTATTTCCTAGCCTACACTTAGAAATATATTTGTTTATAACTACTGTTCTAAACTACTATCACTTCTGTCTTTAAAACTTTGTCTATTCTTTGCTTTGCGCCTCTCAATACTGATGTGTTCTTGTTGCTTAAAAGTGTCCTTATTTTCCTCATACTAAGCGAAGACTTTTCCCCTCTTATTTTTGCAATATCCAGGACTTGCGAAATCGAATCCTACCATTATATGCCCCCCGCTAACAAAATATGATTCGGTTGGCGAAGATGATGTATTCATGACCCTGGACTTACCTGTGGAGAGCGAGAGTTTACAAAAAATCCATTCAAGCCCCGAGGGCAGCGAGAAAAGTCACAGTACGTTATAATCTCATAAATTTAAAGGAACGATTTAAAGAATTATCTTTTCGCAGAGAGCGTCAGCGACCGGCACAGCAACTCCGACTCGGAGAAGCTGCCCGCGCCGCCCATTCACTACATATCCACGGACAAAACATCGGCCACCACATCGCCACCAGACGCCCCGCCCGCATCGGCAGCTCCCTCGCCAGCGGCCGCCGCCCAGATAGCGGCCAGTGAGAACTACTCGTACGTGACCCTGACAGCAGTCCATCATGACTACAACTACCCGGTGGTGGACCAGCCAGTGGGGGCGCAGGTGCTCAACGCTCGTCGGGAGTCGATCAGCGCACTGAAGAAGCGAAACGCTCTGGAGGCGGCCCAGGCCATGGCAGCAGCCCAGACGGTGGCGGGCGGCGGAACTGGAGCAGGTGGCGTTGGAGGCGGCGGAAAACCTTTGCACAAGCCGAACGTGTCGGACATCCTGAAGAAGGAGACGCGTCTGCGGTGCCGCTACTGCCACGAGCTGTACAGCGAGGACTTCAACCGGCGCGGTGCCTGCGAATACGCTCCGGATCCGTTTCGCAGCGGCTACGAGTGCGTCTCGGGGATGGGCTGTGCCCGCTGCATGATCTACCACTGTATGAGCGATGCCGAGGGCGAGACGGCCCAGCATCCGTGCGACTGCAGTGCCAGTGAGGCCGGCTGCAGCAAGCGCTGGCTGGGCCTGGCCCTCCTCTCGCTGTTCGTGCCCTGCCTGTGGTGCTATCCGCCGCTCCGCGCCTGCCACTGGGCGGGCATCCACTGCGGACTCTGCGGCGGGCAGCACAAGCCGCATGTCTGACATTTGGAGGCCCGCTTGCAAGGACAGCACGATGACGACCCCAGGCCCAGAAGCGAATTCCAATACTACCACCACCAGCAGCAACTACACCATGACCAGAGCATAAACAGCGCCAAGCGTCCACTGTTTGGATCCAAGCAAAAGCCAACACAGCCGCTGCAGTCCCAGTCTCAGTCTCAGCGCCACTTCTACAACTGGGAGCTGTCGCACAGCTGGGGCGCTCCCCAGGAGCAAATTCCTCCGTATTTAATGCAGCCGACCGGCCGAAAGGCCGCCCAGAACGACTACGGACGCTTGCTGTTCTAGGGTTTGTGAAATGTGACTGTTTTGGGGCATATCTTTGCGGACCGATTCCTTGGCTGAGCTTCTCTCTTAAACTATTTGTACTAAAGATGTGTGGGAAATTGGAAATGGATGAAAACTATCAGTTGATAGCAGACAACACTATATTTCTCGACAATTATCTGTTTTGAAAAATTCCACATTTCCAAACTTTGCAAACAAAGTTTGTAAGCTGAAGAAGATTCTCGAATAATATATAGCTCAGCTGGGAAATCGGGACGCGAAAGTAGGACCCCGATTCGCTTTTATTATAATTTCGGTATACTCCATTTGAATTGCCATAATTTATTGTAAATACAAAAACAAAAAAAAGAAAAAGAGCAGGAAGAATTACGCATCTATTTTATATATATACTTTATAAATTGTAATTTATGTTTAGTGCTTTCGCTTAATTATAGTTTTGTAAAAACGGGCTATTTGTTTTTATCCGTAAATGTAACAATTTTTTTAAAATCAAATATTTTATAAAATGTTTGTTTTAGTTTTAGTTGTTTAGTGTTTTTCGCTACTTACACTTGCTTGTTTACAATTCGAAATTGGAGAACAGTATTAAAAAGCCGAGGCAAAGGCAAAACGAGATCTAAACAAACATATATATTTAAATGCGATTTTCTCAGCGCGATTCCAATTTGATTATCAATGTCACGCGCTCAAAACTCACACTAAAAGTTCAAACCAACGGCAACCTGATGCGCAAATGAATTAAAAACCCAACCACAAATGGATGGAGAAGCAGTTGGAGACGATGACCCAGCTGCTGGAGAAGAACCTCTGAACCTGAAAAGAATTACAAATTGTATTCGACTCCTCTGGCAAAAGACTCGGCGGCAGTGCTCAGATCTTTGACCCCTTCAGTACGCTTATGAAACGTTACTTAAACCAGCTTTAATTTTTGAATATTTAGGAGATTGTTTCGCCTTCTTAAAAAGAATGTTTTTGTCTCTTCTTAGGGCTCATGAAGATTCAAAATATTTCTTTTGCCAAGCACTCAAAACTTATGATTTGTAAGCCTTGTTTATAAGCCACAGATACAAATGAAAAACTAATTAAAAATTTAAAAAAAATGAGCAAACGAATCGTCAAGGACTGCAGCATTGCTCGTCGCGAATTCTTTTGCAACTAAAGTACGCCTAGATAGCGAAACAATTTGTAATTTTTAGTAAAATGCTTAACATTTATGGCGGTTTATAAAATGGCCAAAAGTAAAGGTATTTTGAGCATGGGGCTATAAATAAAATAAAAAAAAACAATTTAAGTGTTTTCAAACAAAATCAACAAACTCATGTATGCAGCTATATATATATATATATAAAGTAATAAAAAAAAAAACATTAATTTATTTCTTACTATATAATTATTGTTGTACTAAGTCAGTGAGAAAAAAAAAAAAACATGAAAGAGAACTTCACAAAAAACTAAAACAAATAATAAATATGCATTATTTATTAAAAAAAAAAATAAGCAAAGGTTGTGCAAAAAAAACACATTAAAGCAACATTAATATTGTAAAAATTAACTAAATGCGGCAATTGTTAGTAAATGTGCAAAAATTCTGAAGGAAAGTTGAAACCAACCACAGCTAAAAAAAACGCCAAGACAAGTAACGAACATCAATTGTTGGACTACAGAAATAAAACTGAAAATTGAAAAGTTGAATGGATTAATGGTAGAATCGAAAACCGAACAAATTGAAACAAAAACTCAACAACAAGAAGTACAAAATGTTAAATATTTATCTATAATTTACACTTACGTTTTATATTTTTAATTTAAACGCTTACTCAACCGAAAAATAGCTAACTAATTTTACAATCGTCCTCACACTCACACAAAATAATAAAAAAAATAATAAAAACTAGCTCAATGGCAGAATTATTACTTTAGCAAAAATACAGTTCACTTTTTGAAGTTTCTTTTATTATTTCACATCGAAGGAAACCAAAAATAATTCCCATAAAACGAGAAATAGTCGCATATACTCATATTAAATGGAAAATAAATGAAAAAGGTGTCATTACAGAAACGGTTAATGCAACCCAAAAAAGTAATATAAATAATATATTTATTCATATAAATGTATTTGAAAATGTGAACAAAACAAAAAAGATACCAACAATAAAACAAAATTTAATAAACAACATCAATTGTGCATATTTGGATCTAGCAACCGGCTTTTACCTTTTACACATCTATATCCCAGTTAAGTTTTCAGTATTTTAGTACATTATATAATTTTATACGATATTGTAGTACAATAATTGTATATTAAAACAAGAAACCCCAAAACGAAATGGACCAGCTGATGAAGACCGAGTCGGCCCGGGGAGAGGGTAGTCAGACCCAGGAGCTGACCTGCAGTGTGGTCTTCACCAAGTTGGTTTGCTCCCAGAATTATTAGTCCGTAGTAACTACAGGATCTCCTCCCCGCAGCCCCAAGTTTAATGGTAAAGTCGATGCCTCTGTCTCGGATGATGAATTGGGAACTGTGACTCGTTTGGTATCCAAGGCCGAGGAATTAGAGCTCCATCGAGTCTTTAAGAGCATGTCATCGGAGGGTTTTGAGGTGCTGCGGCCCCTAAACCGATCCCTATTTGACTTTGGCCACAATTATGAGGATGTGGAGGGATGGCTTAAGATGGCCCAGCCTCCCAAAGATCAGCTACCGTCTATTCTTCGTTACATAATAGAGTCGCACCAGATAACCACCATTCAGATTGATATTAACAAAATGTACTTCAACTGCCACTTGATTGTACTACAGGTTTACTCCGAATTTTTTTTGAAGTTGGAGGACATCCCGCTGCTAATAACCTTGCCCGAAAACCGGGTCTCCCAAAAGGCCTTTATGCTCATTTACAAATGGATGCTGAGCGATGATCCCTACTTGGAACGTGCCCACATTGTGGAGATCTTTGTGGCAGCTACCTACTTAAGGATCAATGATCTCCTGGACCATTGTTGGAAATATTTCGACGATTCCAAGTGCTTTGAAGAGGACACTGCCTGCATTTTATATGTAGAAACCCAAAATAATCCTGCCTTGGACGTAGTACGAAATATAATGCTGACGAGGATCCACAAATTTTTTCTGACATTTGTGGCCTCTAGTGATTTTTTGAATATTCCCGTTAGTCATTTAGTTTACCTTCTCAGTTCAAGTAAAATTTCTGTTAACAACGAAGCTGAGGTGCGATATGGTCCTTATATATGATATATAGGAGTCCTTATATATATTTTTTTCGTATTTGATCTTTAAAGAATTTTTTTCATGAACTATTTCTTTTAGGTACTTTTCGTAGCTATTCGATGGATGTCTTATGATTGGGAAGAACGCAAGAAGTATGCCCTAAGGATCTTTCCTTGTATTCGCTTCAAGCTTATGCCGCTATGGTTTCTCCTATATTTGCAACGGGATGAGACCAATACTTATGTAAACGAGTTGATCGCCATAGAAGATTATAATGATCAAGTCAACGAATCCATCGCCAGAATTAGCAGTCTAATGTACGATGAAAAGGAAGCGCGTCTGCCCGAGACTACAGGAGATATCTTTAAGCGAAAAGGAGCAGAGCAACGCAATTGGATTTGCGATAAAACGTGCAACTATTATCACTACGTCGGTTGCATAAAAAATAGAGAAATTCGCTATGAAAAGTTCGAGGAATATCTTAGTGATATCCAAAGATGTAGTACTGACCATTGGGAAAAGGTGGAGATGCTCGACCCGAGTAATCCGCAAAAGTGCTGCAATGTTAGGATACAACTTGTTTATTAGGACAAAAAAACAAATTAAAATTTAAAACAGGAAGCTTCAAAATGTAAACCTTTTTTCAAATTTGGCGGCTTTGATATACGTAGAACAGTATTTTCCTAAAGTCAGCTGGTAACACTGCTGTTAGCAATCATATGTTCATGTTTTTCTTGTATCTGCCTGCTTTGTTTGCTTAAAATAAAACAGAATTTAAAATGGAAAAATTGGAGGCTCTTAAAATCTCTTCCATGAGGCCACGCAGTAATATACTTGACCGGCCACTGTCCAAGGGCAAAACCGAGGTTTCTCAGAGCATCGTGGCGCTGCTCTTCAGTGAAATTGTCCAGTACTCCCAAAGTCGGGTATTTACAGTGCCAGAACTGCAAACTAGGTGAAGTTTATTTACGTTTGTAGTATAAATGGGTAATAATTGTATATTATTAGGCTCCACGATCTTGGTCAGGATGTTGGCACTCGCATCATAGACTTGTATTTTGTAAGAGAGCGTAGCTCCAAGCGGGAGACCAAGCTCACCCAGATGCTTCTGTTCGTCAAGACCACTGTGTGGAAAAATCTATTTGGCAAGGAGGCAGAAAAGCTGGAACATGCTAACGACGATGAGCGCACTTACTACATTATAGAGAAGGATCCTTTGGTCAATACTTTTATAAGTGTGCCAAAGGATAAGGGATCTCTCAACTGCGCCAATTTTACAGCCGGAATTGTAGAAGCAGTCCTCACGAATTGCGGATTTGTAAGAAATTTAAACTGCCTTTAATACAAACAGTTGTATATCCTTTCTTTCAGCCTTGCAAAGTCACCGCCCATTGGCATAAAGGCACAACCTATATGGTCAAGTTCGAGGACTTTGTCATTGCTCGGGACAAGCAGATGGAGGAGAAATAGTTTAAGCATTCTTACAATTAAAATTCACAATAGTTAACGATCTTTTGGATTTTCATTTAATTTCCACTACAATTGAAGATTACGAAAGAGTAACAGTTGATGAATTACTTAGATAAACTTGAACTGGCGATCCTTGTAGGCTACCTGGCCGGTCCGGTATTTCTCCTCACGTCCGTCGCGTTCGGCCTTTAGGGCCCAGGCGTAGAGAACGATTGGCAGGGCCACAGCGAACAGACCCGTGCGGAAAGACTTGCCAGTGGGCTTGAAGTGCTCATAGTTTGACACGCGCATAGCCTGGAAGCGGGACAATCCTGCGTCGAACTGGAAAATATATAAAACTCAGTGAAATTCATCGTCTTGATGACATAACCTAAGGATAGACTCGATTTTCGCACTTACCACAGTGCCTCCTTCACCGGTGGCATGGCGGAAAGGATTGGAACTTTGCTTCAGGTATTCATTACGCAGCTTAAGCGTGTGCTCATGCTTGCGTTTTAGGAATTCCGTCTCCTCCTTTGAAATAACCATTTTTTCCAAAGCTACAACCAAAACAAAAATCTAGTGGAGAGAATGTGACCAGAGGAAAGTATTGAAAATAAAAACAATTTACAGTATATACCAAAAAAATACCACTGAAAAGAATCGATTTTCGATAGTTTTGCGCTATCTCCATTTCCGGTTTAATTTATTAAAATATTTTATTTTTCCCTATACTTACTAAACTATAGTTCACTATATTTCAAATTATGAAGCCCTTTTAGACAATTATATTATTATTTGAGAAATCGCAAACAATAATATGGGTGTTTATTAATACTGACGTAATTTTTAAATTGTTAGATAGTTTTAATTTTTTAAATACGATACAGGTTCTTATGCTTATTGTTCTCATTTGCAAATATTAATATATATAGAAGAAACTCCAGACTGTCCAGTCTCCAATGTAATTCCTCCAATCGTCATTTATGAAATAGTTAATAAAACTACACTTTCTACCTCTTTCCAAAAGCTATATTTTCACCTGCCGATATTAAAAACAAGATAGTAATTAGTTGTTTACCTAAAATTGGTTCTGCAAAGTCTACTGCTTCGTTTTCAAAAGACTCTTTCCACCCTTGCCACCGTTATACGCGCCTGCTCAGATTCTCTCAGGCTTCTCCCCACAGCGCATGTCCTGCAAAGTGTAATGCGCAGATCTCCGTATATTTCAGAAATCGCTGTTTTCACGATACTAGGGATAACCTTTACGCAGAATTTATGTATTTCATCTAAATTATTTAGTTAATTTAAGGTTTTTGCGTTTTTTATTCACATTATTATGGAAAAACAGGGCAGTTCGGTGGTTAAAATGCAATAACTCCCCCTTGGCGCATGGCATTTGGACGTAAGAGAAAGGCCAAGAGAGCGAGAGCTGCCGTGAACCAACGCGCATGTGGCTGCCTATTTGGGTGGTAAATGCACTTGGCTTAGCCTTAGCCCGGTTTTCCCCCGGGGGCGGCCCTGCTCCGACGTCTAGGGGTGGATTTTCCCGTTTTCGTTCGGTTGCCCGCGGTTGCGCCCTGTCCTTTTTCGGCTCATTTCAATTTTCACTTGCTGGCGGAAAGGAGGCAGCGGCTCAGGAATTAAATCTGGTCACTGAAGTCTATTGATTTTTGTTTCCATCCGATTTCCAGCTGCAGCGCGGAATGAGCTTAAAGTCCAGTGCCCGCATCAAGAAGCGCCGCTCGGAGGCAGCAGCAGCCAACTACGCTACTGCCACAACCACAGCTCCCAGTCCAGCTTCAGCTATGGCGGGCAGTGGCTGCGGTTCAGTCTCAGCCAACTCCTCCACCACCACCAACAACAGTAACAGTAATTCCAACCCCTGCCCCTCCTCCGGCAAGAAACATACTTTCGTTGGGCGCAATCCCAACTTCGACACGGACGAGACCAAATTGCTCATCCAATTGTGGGGCGATCCCAAGTTGCAGAGAACTCTGATAACAACACATAAGAAGCACGCTGTGATCTGCCAGCTGGCGGCCAAGATGCAGGAGTACGGCTATCACCGGTCACCGGAGGAGATTACGACGCGCATCAAGAATCTCAAGTGTTTCTACAATCGCCTCAAAAAGGACAAGGAGTGCGGCGCCCTCTCCGCCGATGCCGAGCCAAGTTGGAAGCACTTTGCCGAGATGGACGCCATCATGACCCGCCCCATCTTCAGTGTACGTCCCAATGAAGTTCCGGCTCCCTCCCTAAAGTACCAATTGGAGCAAGCGCTGGAGGAGCACGCAGAACGTCGAAAGCGGCGATTGGAGAATGGCGAGGAGCTGTCTGAGAGCGACAACGAGGAGGATGATATGCTCCTCTCCGCGTTGGTTAGCAAAAACAAGGAGTCCACGTCAAAAAAGGAGCTGGAAGCAGGCTGTCTGGAGTCCGATCGAGACGTCAATGATGAGTCCTTCGCCAAGCGGCGGAAGTTTTCCGATGATGTAGATGTGGACATTGGGGAAGCCTTGATTAAGGCAGAACCGACTCCAGAGGTGGAGGCAGTGCCTCCTGCTGCTGTTGATCCTGAACCGGAGGAAGATGATGATTGTCTGCTGCTACCGCTGCCCAAGGAAGAACCCATTGATGTGGATGCCGCAGACGATTCTCCCAATGAGAAATCCTCTAGTCCCAGCTCGTCATCGACTTTGGCGGAAATGTTGCAGAGAAACAAGACCACAGGTAATGTGCTGCCCATAACCGGAGCCAATGTCATTATTCCGTCTGGGATTAGCACCAACGCGGCTAGCAGTAGCTCTACCACCCAGAACTCCAATACGGCAGCTGGCAATAAACTGCAGGCGGGAAAGATATCGCTGGTTCCGACAAATTTCCTGATGCAATCCAAGCTTCCGCCAGTTGCGGGACCAAGTCCCAATCCAGTCGCAAAGGGAGCTGCTCCCCAGCTTCAGCTGTTGCAGAATGCAATTACTCAGGGCGCCCGCCTAATGATTAGCGGATCCCCTGCAACGCCTACTCAACAACCGGTGGTGGCCACTGCTCCAGGAGGAGTCAAGTTCGTCCTGGTAAATGCGGAGCAAGCGAAGGCCGCGGCTGCTGCTGCTGCCGTGGGCAAGTCCACTGCCTCATTGCCCCTGGCAACTGCCCAGGCTCAAGCGCAGGCTGTAGCTCAGCAGCATCAGCAAAAGCTGCAGCAGAGTCTGCACCAGGAACAGATACAACATCAGCAGCAAATTCAACATGAGAAGGAAGAGAGTCGAAGGGCGCAGGAAAAGGCTCGAGAGGATCAACAATCCAAACGCCACATGACAAGTGAGTGTCCTTAAAATTTTGTAATTGTAAAGAATGTAAATTAATATCCACTTTATCTTTTAGCCATGAGAATCCTCTTGCGCCAGCTTCTCAATGCTCAAAACGAGGCCAACGAGATTCAGCACAACCGTTTGTCATTGGAGCGCGAGCGTCTGGACTGGGAGAAGTCTATTGGGGAACGTGTGCTCAATCTGCTGCCGAGCTTACTCCAACCGGCAGCTGCGGCCGCCACGCCATCCTCTGCTGCCCAGCGTCTACAGCCTCCCAAGCTACTCTTTACCACCGCCCTCCCCATGGCCAATGGCACTGTTTCTATGCCGCATATACTAACATCAAACTCTCTGCCAAAAGTGATAACCACTACGAGCAGTGTTAGTGGAGGTTCGGGATTAGTGACTGCCTGTGTGGCTCCCAAGCCGGTGGACAATGATGTCCAGCTAGTCACGCCAAAGCAGGAAAAGGAGGGATAAATCCACAATCAACTAGTCATGTTACGTGATTGATATTAAGACCGTATAACAGTGATCTCTAAGAAATGATATTGAAGTGAAAAAGAATCTGCTCTTAATTTTAGCTTACTTTTAAATACTCCTGATAAAATAAAGATTGATCTTTTAAGCTAGTTTATAAATTATACAAGGACTTTTTAGATTATCATTTTGAATAGAGCTAAAATATCGTTTAATTTATCGTCTTAAATATTTGCCTACAACAATAATAAACTATTAATGATTATCCTAAAGCTAATGTATGTTGAGCCGCTCCATGTCTCGGATCTCCATGATGTCCGTTTTGAGTCGCTGCTTGACGATCTCCCGCCAGATAGCCTCCCTGTCCCGGTTATCTGTTACTCCCATTCGCTGTAAAGAGGAGTCCGTGATGCGCAGGAGAGCTCGGCCGGTTATATCATGCTGAAAATAGGAACACACGTGGATATATATAAACGAAAGATCAGTAGGCAGGTAGGAAGTTGCCTAAATTTTAGTCACTAGTGTTTGAGTTTTTCTTTGTTGAATAATCAGGCGCAGAGACATGACGGAAGTGCTTCAAGGAAGCGGCACCAATAACGAGAGGGGCATAGACAAAAATCCGAAGCGGTAAGTAGGTAGATCGGGAATAATAAGGATATCATTACCAACCTGGGCAAAAAGCTGTTCGTACTGGCTGTATTCGCCGCAGTGACGGCGATACCACTTTAGTACATCACTCACTGTCCACTGGTAAACGGCTTTGGGCCGCGTGGTTTTCGTTCTAGTTTTGTTTTGCGTGGAATTGCTGGTTTCTTCACCCATTTCGGAATTTACAATTTGTTTAGCGTTTGCAAAAAAAACAAACAACGGGTTTGATAACAGTTAGTGGTGGACGAACGTGACATCGATAAATTTACGTGGCTTCTGTCTGTCTGTTAAGGTCTGTTTAAGACCCACGGAAAGCATTTAAGGAAAGAAAAATATTTTTCACATATGGTTATGTGATTTTAGCAATTATATTACCGTGCTTCCGTTTAAATTTAATACCATTATTTTAACCGGTTATCATGTTTTCTTGCAAGTACATCGATACATGTGAATTGGAATGCTATCGATGACCGCTCGTCATAGTTATCGAGATTTTCGCAGCTCTAATCGTGACTGGCGCTTAATAACAACGACCGAAAGGTGAAAAAGTCAGCATAAAACACTTAAATACGCAAAAAATACACCTCGTACGCGGTAGAAAACACAGAGAAAATTGGTGTACGACTTTTGGCTTAATAGAAACAGTTTTACCTAATCGATTGATACACGCATCCTCTTGTTAAATTCGTGTCTCGTCTCCTAACTTCACATCCGCATCCAAATTCCAAGTCGCAAGATGGCCGGAGCTACACTTTTCGAGCGTGCACAGGCGCTGTCCAGTGTTAATCGCGAGGAACAGGACAGCTCGCTGCTAAACAAGATCCTTCGTGACCAGGAGGGCGCTGAGAGTGATGAAGAGCGTATTCGCATCAAGGAACAAGCCATCCTGCAGCAGGGTGAGCTCTACAAGCAGGAAGGCAAGGCCAAGGAGCTGGCCGACCTGATCAAAGTTACGCGTCCCTTCCTAAGCTCTATCAGCAAGGCGAAGGCAGCGAAGTTGGTCCGCTCCTTAGTGGACATGTTCCTTGACATGGACGCAGGCACGGGCATCGAGGTAAGTTCTTTGTTTAACGAATAATAATATTCGTATATTGATTTCTTTGTTTTGCCGTTTGAAGGTCCAATTGTGTAAAGACTGCATTGAGTGGGCTAAGCAGGAGAAGCGCACCTTCCTTCGCCAGTCTCTGGAGGCGCGTCTGATAGCCTTGTACTTTGACACTGCCTTGTATACAGAGGCTTTATCCTTGGGATCGCAGCTGCTGCGGGAACTGAAGAAATTGGACGATAAGAATCTTCTGGTGGAAGTTCAGCTACTGGAGAGCAAAACCTATCACGCTCTGAGTAACCTGCCTAAGGCAAGGGCTGCACTCACATCGGCTCGCACTACGGCCAACGCCATTTACTGTCCGCCCAAGGTTCAAGGTGCCCTCGATCTGCAATCGGGTATCCTGCATGCGGCCGACGAACGTGACTTTAAAACCGCCTTCTCCTATTTCTACGAGGCGTTTGAGGGCTTCGATAGTGTGGACAGTGTCAAGGCTTTGACTTCACTGAAATACATGTTGTTGTGCAAGATTATGCTGGGACAGTCCGATGATGTCAACCAGATAGTTAGCGGAAAGCTGGTAAGCTATGAATTTTATTCAAAACCCCAAGTCTTTATTTATATTTCGATCTCTATGACAACAGGCTATTACCTACTCAGGACGTGACGTCGATGCAATGAAATCTGTGGCTGAGGCTTCTCACAAACGTTCGCTCGCCGACTTCCAGGCCGCGCTTAAGGAGTACAAAAAAGAATTGGCCGAGGATGTTATTGTGCAGGCGCATTTGGGTACGCTGTACGACACTATGCTGGAGCAGAACTTGTGTCGCATCATCGAGCCCTATTCCCGTGTGCAGGTAAGCCCGACAATGGATTCACAAAGACCGGTATTTAAATTCGTTTGTTGTAGGTCGCTCATGTTGCCGAAAGCATTCAGCTGCCCATGCCGCAGGTGGAAAAGAAATTGTCTCAGATGATTTTGGATAAGAAGTTCAGCGGTATTTTGGATCAGGGAGAAGGAGTGCTTATTGTGTTCGAGGAGACGCCCGTGGACAAGACCTATGAACGCGTGCTGGAAACTATCCAGAGTATGGGCAAGGTAGTGGATACACTCTACCAGAAGGCCAAGAAATTGTCGTAAGCGCAGCGCAGGAAGCACTATACAATTCACACATGATATCAGAAGAAATAGCAGACTTTTCATAGTTTCTTTTTTATTTTCCACAAAATCAACTCCCCAAATCGAGTCCAAGCCAAACAAGTTTTAAGTTTCTGTGAAAACAAAATTAAAGCACTATTGGCAATAATAGAAATAGAAGCAGCAGCCGTCGCTGCCACAAAAAATGTTAAACAAAATCCATTAATTTAACATAAGCAAAATTATTAATCATTGAGTGGGATCGAATTGTTTACGCAAAGGCGATAAAATAAGCATAATATTCAATTAACTACATAATAAAACGAAAACTGAAAAAAAGTAAACAATACATTGAAATTTATAATTTCTATACCAACTGTTGGGGTCTATTTATCATTTTTCCAAGCCCAAACATCTTAATTAATATATTCTTTAATTGATTAAGTATTAATTTTTATTGAATAAATTAGATTTCGTTTGATTTGGACATAAGGATTAACCGAAGGTATGGGAGAGTCCTAGGCCACCGCCAAAGTTGGTCCTCTGGTTGGCGAATGGTCCGCTCGTCCACTTACTGGCAGATCCTGTCAAGTCCAGGCGGGTGTTGCGATCCTGCGAAGACCATAGGTTGGCGCGGCCATCCAGACCCAATTGCTGGCCAATTCCGGGGAAATTGCTGTGGGTCAAGCTGGCGCCATGGCCATTCGCGTGGGAGTAGTCCAGTCCAGCACCATTGCGTTGGAATTCGAATCCGTTGGCCAGCTTGTTCTGCGAGGCAAACACCTTGGCGTCCAGGTTGTGTCGGTCGTTCTTGAAGATATTGGCATGGGCCTCCTGCTGGAAGACGTCCTTGACTCCCGGGGTGTGGGTCTTAGTCAAAGAAGCGCCATGGCCATTACTAGAAAGAGAGGATTTTATTTAGTTAATTTCATTATATTTACATCCACAATGAGGTAGTTACTTACTTATTGTATGCCAGAGTTCCGCCAGTAGTAACTGGGCCGGATTGTGTGTTTCCAGCAGCGAAGACCTGGCCCACCACATTGTGGTTAGGATTACCGATGCCCTTGGAAAGATCCACTCGAGCATCAGCACCGCCGGCGGGATTGGAAGCCAAAGATCCGCCCAACACCTGACGACGAACCCGAATGGGCTGTGGTGGTGGCCGCGGTGGGGGATAGTAGACCAGGTGCTGGAAGCCCTGGGGAGCTGCCTCAGCGAGGGCGGCAAGAGCCACAACTGCCACGATTAAGATGGTTGCTTTCTGCATGTTGCTGGTTTGAATTGTCAAATCTTACTGATGCCCCAAACAGCCTAGAAATTCGCTTTTATACCTTTGCTGGCTGGGGAAGAACTCTTCGGGTGATTCACAAGATTCCCATCTCCGTGCTTGCGGGCTGTCTGTCTTATCAGCTAGGAGTTCCCCGCTTGATGGGTGATTTACTTGGCATCTCGCGATTGTGTGTAGCTTGACCTCGTCACCTCCCACCTTTTATATAGGTCTTCCTTTATTGCGCACCACTTGGCGCCACTTGTTGCTCCTTTGGGCGGACTTCACCCACACCTCGGGCTTCCTTGGTCGTGGCATCTTCAAGGGGATTGGCTTTGTGAGCTGTTGAAGGAGTGCATCCTCATCTTGCGCAGGACAGCTCTTTGACAGTTATAAGCCATTCCCCATCATATTCCCCCACTTGATGTCAGGCTTTATCAATAGTAATCGAAAAAAGCAGGAAGGATGGTAGGTGGAGGAGGGAGGTTGGAGTGAAAGAGAATTATTGCGTGCGGCAGGACTTGCGCTGGATTTGAGTGAAGTTCCAACCAAAACTTAATTGAATTTTCTGCGCAGGAGCAGGTGGAAAGGATGCGAACTGAGAGAAGAGAGCGGATAACTTCAACTCGAAATGTCAAAATAAAGTTTGCACTGGAATAATAAGGGTATTAGAATAAGTATGATACCATTTTTTAATGATAATATTTTTATTTAAAGCTAAAACACAGTACTTTCTGGTTAAAAGTAAAATCTCATTCATCTCTATTAATTATAAATATGTTTATAATAAATGAACTCATTCATCATGCCATATTTTGTCGTGTTTTTTCATTGATTAAGATTCATGCCATCTGGTGATTTTTATATTTTTTAGTTCTTTTAAAAACAAAATTGTTTGTTTGTCCGAAAACCAGTTTGTGAATCACAAGAGATTCAAATTTTAATATGTACGTTGAGATTTATTGCCCTCCTGTGATTAGACATTTTCTTATCACTAATAAAGTAAAAAATCAGAGGGTTTCTCGGGAGATAATCCAGAAAAATCCCCTGCCCATTGTCATTGAAAAATATTTAAAACTGTTTTTTACGAAGCTTCATTTATTGTTACAAAAGTGATAAGCAATTTTAATAAACAATGATGTTTAAAAACATTTTATATATATTTGTTCCAGGTGTTTAAGGCCTTTAGACTGGCAAGATTGGAGGCGGGCGGACCACAGCAGCAGGTTGAACCAGTCCCAGGTGATCTTCGATGGCCAGAGCTTCGCGCCTCACACGAATGGGGCGTGGATGGGAGGTGGGGCGTGGGCTGTAGGGTTTTGGCTTGCCGGGCGTGGCCAGAGCCATGGCGAACACACAAGCCAGCATCAGGAAAACGATGGTGAATTTCATTTTGCTTCGAGTTATCAAGTCGAACTGATGCTAGTCTATGGAAAAGTGGCGTCTTATATAGGAGCCTCGATCGCTGATTAAAGCTAGCGACTTGAAGGTGCAGTCACGTCTTGTGGTCTAGTCGCCGGTGGTTCCCCAAAGCGGGGACTTTTCTTCTGTTGTTGTCAATAAATTGGCCACCGAAGGTGAACTGCTGAGACAATTTGCGTGTTTATGTAGATAATGTTTATGAGGGCGTTGTAATAGTAAAGTACTTCACATTTTCTTATTATAAATTAAGTAAATAATTAAAAAAACTTTCTAAAACTAATTTGAAACTTAATTTTTGGCGCCAAGCTGTCACTTTCACTCTAGCCCTTTCGCACTCGTCCTGTCAGTGAGCTACAGTCTCTCTCCTTCTCTCTTTGTACCTTTGATGTCCTGTTTGGTGGCTGTCAGCCGCGTCAAATCTCATTAGGACGGGATACACACACACACTCTCACACGCGAAGGCGAAACGCGCTTGAGCGAGCTTTTCCGCTTTTGAGCGCAAGCAATGCTTTTCTTTTCGGGGGCTCTTTTGGAAAATTCTTGGGCAGCTTGCCAAACGCTCGTATAGAGGCCAGACGCGAGGAAAACTCTGCTTATCGATTACGCACGTAACACATTTTCCAAACAGCCGAATACCCCAAAAAGATTCAATAAATCAGCGCGGTGAACACTATATTTGGTGTGTAATTATTAAAAGATATTAATGTTATAATGTACTAAAGTGTGAAAGGTTTACATAATAAAGAATGAAAGGTGGAAACTGTCAGAAGGTTTCCCCTGAAGAGCCTCCGTCTGTGACAATGGCCTTCAAGGAGTGTGCGAAAATTGTCTATATATAGAGACTGATACATACATCAGATTTTGTGGGCACGTGTATTTCAAAGAAAAGGAATCCGTTTCCTAAATAAGTAACAATAATTAAGGATTTAAGTGTGTAAAGTAAAAAAGTGTTGTATAATTAGGGCAAGATATAAATAAAATTAAAAAATATGTTTGCTTTTTTATAGCTTTGGAGGTTTTTATATTCTCTAGCTTTCAGTTTTTCCAAATTTTCCCTCTTTCTATTAAAAATGGTTCAATATAATCCTGATTTTCTTTTAAATGACATCCTTTTTGTGGCAACAACAAGTCTGTTCTATATACGGACAGTAACCCACATATACACACAAATAGTCTCATTCCCATTCACCCACATTTGTTATGTGGCAACGGTGCGTATGTGTGATGGCAGCGAAACAAAAAGAAAAAAAAATGTAATACGAATTACTCAAGCGCTCAAACCGAATGCCGCGCTCAAAGCTTTCCCAACTAATTCACTCAACTCGCCTGAGCTCACTCGTTCGGTCGAAAGTGAGCTTGGCGAATTGGCTGTTTGTTTTGCCTTCTTCTTCTTCTGAAAGCAAATGGCCGCTCAAAAGCCGGGAAATGTCAAACGGAAGTAGTTGACAGTAGTAATGGCCAGAAACTGTGAGTGGTAACTAAACATGAGTGTTTTCCGTTTAAGCTTTGCCTTCTGGTACATGAAGCAGTAATCCGGATTAGGAGAAGGCAATCAAAGGACATACCCTTCCAAAGGACTTGGAAAAAGAAAATATGATAAGGGCTTAGTTGAAAATTTTTTATTTTAGACAAAAATCCTGAGAAAATACTGCAAAATAGATAAAAGGCAATACTGTTTTTTAAGAGTATTACGAAAGTTTACAGATCTCCAGTTAATTTTCCCCTTTTAACTAGAAACAAAGGAATTTGAATCCCTAATTGACCGCCTTTGTCTCCCACAGTTGCCGAATAATAATGGAGATGATAATGAGGCTGTAACTGGGCCAACAGAACGGACCAAAAATCCCAAAGGGCAGGGCAGAGTGAGCAGAACAAACAAGCAACCGGAAGGGATCAAAGGACACAAAAGGCTACGCATCAGCAGACACCATCCGAGTTCAAGGAACTAACAAACAATGAATCCCTACACGCAAGGAGGAGGTGCTGGGGCTGCCAATCCCTTCGGAGCACCTGCCACCGGAGCTGGTTATGGCCAACAACAGCAGCAGGGCTATGGCTATGAGCAGCAGGCAACAGGTGGCTACGACCAGGGCATGAACTATGGCCAACAGCAGCAGCAGGAGGCAGCAGGATACGGACCCCCCGGAGCCCGGCCACGAGTGGATGTGGATGCCAGTGGCGAAGTGGATCCTAATTTGTTAGTGAACTAAATTAATTATCCCTAGAAACTTATAATATTAATACCCTTTTAGATATCCCGAGGCCAAGGAATCAACGCACAAGGTTCGCGGACATTCAGACATCCTGGAAATGTTCTTTGGTGCCAGCACGGAACGAGAACTTATTCCCGTGAAGAGTTTCTACTTTTTCTTCTACGCCGCCTTCGGATCCCTATTCCCCTTGATGGGCGTCTACTTCAAGCAAATGGGAATGAATCCTGGCCAGTGCGGCATCCTTGTGGGAATGCGCCCCTTCGTGGAGTTCCTCTCGGCCCCGTTCTGGGGCTCCTACGCGGACCGCTGTCGCCAGGGCAAGAAGCTGTTGCTGGGCTCCTTGGCCTGCTGGGTCCTGTTCACAATCCCGCTAAGCTTCATCCGTCCGGAGGCTGTCAACTGCATTGAACGCCGCAACTCCACGGATTTTGTCTTGACCTACACCCGCACCAAGCGAGACGTTTCGGCCATGTACGAGCCCCAGGTCGGGATGGATCCGGCTCTCGGCACGATGCCAGCAGAAGAGGCTCTGGAGGAGGCCGAAGCTTCCCACAGCCGACACAAGAGGTCCCTGCTCCTGCCCAGAATCGACGCCGGAATCTCTCCTGTGCACATAAACTTTGTGAGCAACTACGATGATAAGTACCACAGGGATTATGTGACTCCCATCTTCAGCTCTATGGTCTACAGGACACCGGTAAGAATAGCCTTCCTATTGTGTCTTAAAACTTATATTATTATACTTACTAGAGTCTATACTCTAAGATCAAAGATCAATTGTTTATTCAACAATTAAACCCAAAATTTTATTTATATTGCCGGGGAAACGGTCTACAGATCGTTCAAGGTATTCCGCTCAAGGATCGGGTAGAAATCAGCAAAGATATAGACATTGGAAGGTGCATGTATAAAAATCCTGGATTTCGCCAGGGGTTGTATCAGAAAAAATGGAAAAATATCGATCGAAAATTTTATTCTGAGGTTTTGATGCAGAATGACGGGGAATCGATCCAGAAATCGTTCAAGGTATTCCGCTCAAGGATCGGATAGAAATTGGCAAAGATATAGACATTGGAAGGTGCCATATATTAAAATCCTTGATTTCGCAAGGGGTTGTATCAGAAAAAATGGAAAAATATCGATCGAAAATTTTATTCTGAGGTTTTGATGCAGAATCGAATCGATTTAGAAATCGTTCAAGGTATTCCGCTCAAGGATCTGATAGAAATTGGCAAAGATATAGACATTGGAAGGTGCCATATATTAAAATCCTGGATTTCGCAAGGGGTTGTATCAGAAAAAATGGAAAAATATCGATCGAAAATTTTATTCTGAGGGTTTGATGCAGAATGACGGGGGATCGGTCTAGAAATCGTTCAAGGTATTCCGCTCAAGGATCGGATAGAAATTGGCAAAGATATAGACATTGGAAGGTGCCATATATAAAAATCCTGGATTTCGCAAGGGGTTGTATCAGAAAAAATGGAAAAATATCGATCGAAAATTTTATTCTGAGGGTTTGATGCAGAATGACGGGGGATCGGTCTAGAAATCGTTCAAGGTATTCCGCTCAAGGATCGGATAGAAATTGGCAAAGATATAGACATTGGAAGGTGCCATATATAAAAATCCTGGATTTCGCAAGGGGTTGTATCAGAAAAAATGGAAAAATATCGATCGAAAATTTTATTCTGAGGTTTTGATGCAGAATCGAATCGATTTAGAAATCGTTCAAGGTATTCCGCTCAAGGATCTGATAGAAATTGGCAAAGATATAGACATTGGAAGGTGCCATATATGAAAATCCTGGATTTCGCAAGGGGTTGTATCAGAAAAAAGGAAAAGGATTAATTAAAGTGCAAAGGACTCTTTGGTATTTAACTTTTTTGACTCTTTTATCTCTTTTACTCCTATCTTTTAAGTAAAACTTTATTTTAATGCTCAGGAGTATATTTACATACATACACTATCGATTAAAACGTGTACTTTTCTTCACAGGACATTCAAAAAGCGTTCTTTTTGCTGTTGTTAGTGATCCTGATTGGCGAATTCTTTAGTGCTCCGGCCATCACCCTAGCAGATTCTGCGGTCATCACTCTTCTCGGCGAGGATGCGGACAAGTATGGACACCAGCGTATGTTTGGCTCTCTCGGATGGGGAATTTCTATGTTCCTGGTGGGCATCGCCCTGGACCACTCCACCTCATTCTCAAACCACCCGTGCGGAGCTGGCAACAAAGAGAAGAACTACAATATCTGCTTCTCCATCTTCTCGGTGTTGATGACTTGTGCGATTATATCCGCCTCGAAGATCACCTTTAAGTACGATCCCATTGACGAGCAGCAGCAGGCGGCCCAGCAACAGGCCCAGTTCGTGGACCCCAACAAGCGGGCTGAGGAGGAGTCGATGAACCAACTGGCAGCTCAGCTGAATCTGCCTTCGCTGGCCGTGGGTAGCGGCAGTGCCGCCTCGGGTGCCTGTGCCGGTGGCGTCAGTAGCTTCCTAGCGGCGGGCCAGCAGGCCCACCAGCCTCACATTGGCGCTGAGTCCAAGGTGTTCGCTCAAACAGCCAAGGAGCTGCCGGAGTGGATGACCGTGCTGACTCATTTCAAAGATCTAAAGACCGCCTCGTTCCTGTTCGTGGCCTGGTTTATGGGCTTTGGCATTGGCCTGATCTTCACCTTCCTGTTCTGGCACTTGCAGGACTATGGCGGCACTCCCACTCTCTTCGGAGTGGCCTCCGTGATCAATCACGTCTCCGAGATTTTCGCTTACTTCTTCAGCTTCCGTCTGATCACCCAGATTGGCCACGTCAAGGTCCTCTGCCTGGGCTTAATTGGCAATGTACTGCGCTTCCTGTACATCTCGTATCTGACCAATCCGTGGATGGTGCTGCCCTTCGAGCTGATGCAGGGCATAACCCATGCGGCGGTGTGGGCGGCCTCATGCTCTTACATAGCCCATAATACACCAAAGCATCTGAGGGCCTCGGCCCAGGGTGTCCTGCAGGGCATCCACCATGGTCTGGGACGAGGCTGCGGCGCCATCATTGGGGGCATGTTCGTCACCTATTACGGTACTACTGCTACCTTCCGCTGGTACGGCATAGCCTGCCTCTTCGTCCTCGGATTCTTCATCTTTGTCAACTTCTATCGCAAGGAGCAGGGCTTTATTTCTGATATTCCAGTTACCGAGGATCCGCATCAGGTAAGTTTTGGGGCCTACAAGATTTTATATAAAAACTAACTCATATTTCACTCCTTAGGTGGCTGAGGAAACTTCCCATTTGGCTCCTCACGGCGTTCCCAGCAATCCGATTCCACGGGCTCTTTCTAACTCCCGGCTGAACGAAATGAATCCTAATGGAGGACCGTACGGAACTTACCAAACCACTGGCGGAAATCTCGACATTCCCGGCGCCAATCAGCACAATCCATTTGCCCAGTAAATGGGGGGCTTACCATCTCAGCCATACCATCATAGCCACAGAGGAAATCTGCAGAAAAGAGTTTAAAAATACATTGAAAAACGAACAAAGTATAACCGCAAACATATCTTGGACATTGGCCTGCAATATGAATTGCATAACTGCATTGCTTTATTTTGATTTGTTACGATCTACACATAGCATATAGCATATACATATACACATATATATATTTTATATAGGGCCACGCCACATAGCCAGAAAATACAAGGATTCCGTATGATTTATATTGGTTACAGTCGATGGAGGACGCGAGGATGAGGTTGAAACGAATTTTCACATAGCAGCTTAGCAATATATATGTGTGTGTACAAAATATATACTATATATATATATTGTGCCGATCTATAATATTTATAGGCTATTTTTGTATCAGTTGCATGCCACGGACAGTTGCATAGTTTCGTTTTGAGTTGTAAACGTGCAGAGTTTGTTGCCTACTTTAGGGCGATCACCATGCAAATCACGCATACGCATAGGGTGCCCCCCAAAAATCACACATAAAGTACCTATACAAAAAAACCAAAGAATATGGAATTAAAAAATCTGAATAATTCTTAATACAGTGCGTTTCAAGGCTATAGGGTATGGGAAAGCAGTGAAAGCTGTTTCGTTTAGCAGCAATAGATTATGAATATAATGTTCAAACCACAATGTCATAGTATTAATTTAGATGATCCTTTTTCTTATAGCCTTGAATCGCACTGTACCTGTTTCTCTATAACTTGAAGAAATTTAGAGTTTGAGTTTATTGAATAGTTTTTAAAAGATTTGGTCAACTTCGTTTGCAATATTATGATGATTACAAAAATGGAAGCAAATTAATGGAATATGTATTATGAAATATAAATGTAGTTTCATTGAAAAATATAAACACTAAACCAAAGTTTAGGAACCTAAAACAAAGGATAAACCACTGTTGTAACGAATGATATTATGGAAATCCGCCTCATTGCAATCAACTGTTGAATATTTTAATTTTTACACAAATATACTAACCGTAGACGAGGAATATTTTGAGAAACCTAAAGAAAACCGATATATATTACGAGTATATATAGTATATGAAAGTTGACGCACCAAAAACCAAATGAAAATGGAAAAGCAAACTATACTAAACCGTATCTGTACCTAAGAGATATTTTTCCTGATTTCCACTCGATGATATTGTAAACTAATCTAGCAAAAACAAAAAAAAAATAATGAGTAAATACAAACACTCGCTCGATTTACAAATATAAATATATATAAATACTGTATACATTATAATATATTGTTGATAGCAAATTTGATTGGATATTTTCTTGTAATATGCTAGTTCTTGTGTACAGCACCCAGATTTGTGGAGATTTTTCGGATAGATTTCGGATAGTATTATGCACTACAGTTTTGTTAGGTTCGTTCGAAATCTCTCTCTCTATATGGATATTGAATAACATACTCATATATATGGTATATAGGCTTATATATGAATGTACAAGTATTATACACACACAAGAGGCGCATACATACATATGATACAAAGGAAACAATACCCAGCCCATAAATCGAATAAAAAGAAAACCGATGAATGGAAGGTGAATCGCAAGAAGTCATGTAATTATGTATGTTTAATAAAACGTTTAAATACCGAGTGAAGTCTAAAGACAAAAGGCGCATACCACTTTGCCGACCATCTGTGTTTGTTCTTGGCCGTTGGTTGCAGTGTATTAACCTATATAAATCGGAGTGATTCGAGATCTTGAAAGCAAAGAAAATGAAAGTCGTGTGGGCGATCGTAGGTCTGCTGCTCTGCTTGGGCTTGGGCCGGGCCAATGGAACACCTGGTGAAACCGGCTCTAAGACTCCCGTATCGATTCTGCCAAGTCCGAGGAGATCTCCACCGAGGCCACCCACTCCAGTAGTTTTACCCGTTCGCCGACCTCCAATTGCACCGCCCAGACCTCCGATAACCTGGAGACCCGTCCCCCGACCTGTTCCCAGAACCCCTCCACCCATTTGGCGTCCTCCGGCTACTCGAAAGCCTGCTCCTAGACATCCTCCACCCACCAGACGTCCTCCAGTCACCAGGAGGCCCACCCAGAGACCCGTTCCTAAGCCACCTCTAATACCAACTACCAGGAAATTTTTGATTTGGTCGCGTATCCCGACTAGAATAGTGCCCACAAAGCCTCATATAAGACCCACCCTATGGACCAGACGTCCCCTGCCAACTGTGCGCCCCACAAGACCTAGAGTGGGTCCTACATTGTGGACCAGGCCACCAGTAAAGGTCACTGTAAGACCCACTATTCGAGCCACCATACGACCTACAGTTCGAGCAACATTGTGGACGAGGCGTCCCAATCCTACAAGAGTCACTAAGCGACCGCAGAAACCCAGAACTGGACCTACTCTGTGGACTAGATCACCAGTCACAAATCCCACCACACGACACCTTACATTTATTTTTGATACCCCGAAGCCAACCACCCAACGTCCACGACCTAATCCTCCTCCTAGAACGGGAACGACTAGGAGTTTAATATTTATATTCACAACCCCAACTAGACGACCCAATTGGACTGTCCTTCCCACAGGACATACGAGAAGATCCTGAGAATAAGGAATAAATATATTATGATAGGATAACTACTGTAGTGTGAAAACTTATTTTGTGAATATTTCCCGCATTCACGCGATGTGGAATTCTTCAGAATATAAGTCAGCGGGGTCATGACTCCACATTTCTAGTTAATTTACTTTAAAAGGTGCAGGAATAAACAAAAATAAATTAAATAGAAACGAGAGTTAAAGACTCTCAGATACCTTATAAAAATAAAATATACTGAAGTTTAAGGACGGAATCTTCTTCGTTAATCCTTTCACGCCTGAGTGCCAAAGTCATAAAAGAACTGACTGAACTCATCTTCTAAAACGAAATTTTATGCTGAGCAAATTCGAGGACTATGGCTTTAATGATTTCCTCAGCTGACAAATAGCCCCTGAGTGCCGGCATGCCCCACTTTAAGCCAGGCCAAGAGCTGGGGAAGGTGGCTATGGCATACCGGAAACGCTTCAAGTTTGCCAAGCTCATTCGTCTCTGCGATTTGTTGGCATTTCAACGGTCTGACGTGATGGCTGCCAAGTGGGTGGTGGATGATGGGCGTTTTGTGGATGGACGTGGGGCGTGGCTGGGTGGGTAGGTTACTGGGTGGCTGGGCGTGGTGCAGTGCCTGCTCATGCAATGATAAATGAAGTTTTAGTGGCTTTTGACCCATTTAATAAATTGTTAAAGTTGAAAAAAGCACAAGAATATTGTAAACTTGTTGGAAGGCAAAAGGCTTGCCATTTCCTTCCTACGCTTCCATTTTATTCTCTCTGTATTTAATTTTATTTATATGTTGTTGTTGCTGGTAGCTGTTAGCCCACTGGCAGTTGGTAGTTGGTGTAGCCTGAATTAGGGTTAATTTAAAAGTTGCCATTGCAACACTGACCCATGGTGAGGCGAAGTTGTTGCCATGTTGCAAACTTTGCCGCTCACTTTTCATGCCCCACTTCAGAGGCACAGAAGTTTTGTTGAATTTTAAATAATTCTGTTAAATTGCATAACGTGCCCAGCTGTCCGGCTATAGCTTTGACCCCTCACGTCTAACCCGGACTCTCTCCCAGCCAGAAAACTTTGGACTTTCTGCTTATTAAGTTAGCGGCGACGACAGTTTTCAGTTAACGTGATTATGTGCCATTAAAAAAACTGTGCAAAAAATTGTATATTACCCACCAACAACGAGAACTCCTAAAAAAGGACCCGATCCAAACATCCAGGACAATAAATAAAGGAAAACTCTGCTGAATCCTCTCCAGCCATAATAAGCAGCATAAAAAGCCTTGGCAAGAGTCTATTAGAGCCAGGGCTAAGCAGCTTGGCGGACGAAAAAATGCGAAAAATATCGTAGTCATCCTCGTAAAATCCTTTGCCCGCCCTTGTCAAATGTACGAACGAACGTAGTATATATCCCAAGCTATATAAACAATTTTCTTTTATGCAAAAATAACAAGCAACAAGAATGCATTTTTGCATAAGAAAGCCCCCGTCCTGAAGTTGAAGTATGGCTAACAAAATCTTCTACTAGCCAAAGGAAGCTTCTTCTGCATAAAAGTCGGAGCCGAATGCAATCCTGGGCTTTGTGCTGCAAGGAACAATTGGAGTGCCAGGCTGGCTTTTCTGATTGCAGGATTAGTGCGAGGGTGCATCGGATTCCTTATGATTATTAAAAGTGAACATAAAGGACGAAGCTGGATATTAAGAATTCGAAGGATGTTATTTGACCTATTTTGTGCTCTACTAATGGAAAAGGATTTTTAATTTTCTCTTGCCTTCTCTTACGGAATATTAAGAAACTCAAGTCCTTAATCTTATATCTAGTATTTCAAAAGTATAAGTATTTTAAATACCAAACACTCAAAACTTAGTTTCCTTAGCAATTCCATTTTACCGTTGGCTTATGTTTAGGGCAACATTAGCCAAAGAACCACAAAAGAGGATGCAGCAGAAATAAGTGTAAGTGCATAGCCAGGGAATTATGCAAAGGAGAGTCAGAGTCTCAGGGAGAAAGGATGAAGAAAGCAGAAAGCAAAGTCGAAGACATTCGGCCGCAAAAAGTTGTTGCTGGCAGGGATTGGAAAAGGGGTGGTGGCTTGTGGGTGGTTTGGAACAAAAAGTGCTGAGCATAAATAAGACATTTGCGTGTGTAAGCACCAAACAGTAACAATAACAGCAACAACAAAGCCTTAAAATAACTCCAACACGCAACATTGAAATGTGGCTGAAGAAGCACCAGGAGCAGAAGAAAAGCAAGAAGAAGCAGAGCCAAGATGGCGAAACGAAGAAGAAGAAGAAGCTGCTGACTTCAGTTGGGGGCGGGGGGATCTGCAATAATTTTCAAACTCCTTTTCCTTTTGCGGGGAAAATCTCGAAAGTTGCAAAAAGTAAAATGTAATGCAAAATGCAAAGTCATCGCTCGCCGTTGTCCTCGAGTGGCTGTAACCTCATCCCTATTTACGAACCCACATCATCAACCCCCCCTTAAACCTCCCAATCAGAAGTTACCTCGCACTCTTCTTATAATCTTACACAGAGAAAAAAGGCCAATATTATCTCTCATTATCAGGAGAAGGGCTCTATAAAAGGGACAAAAGGACAAATAACTAACTAAATAAATTATTTTCAAATATTATTGGAAACTTTTCTTTATAATATGTCCTTTATCTTCAGTGTATGACCAATTGTTGTGATTTTTTTCTCTTCTGCGACTTCGTGCACATGCATTTATTTAAATTTCTTTGTCCTCGTGTCTAGGAGGTCCTTTCCCCTTCCCGCCCCCTCCCCCTTCACCCATTCCACCCGCTCATTTTGCCAATGTATTCATTGTCTGTGAAATTGTTGTGTGTTTCCATGCCGTCGCATAATGTCTCTCTTTGCTCCCTACGTGCTCCTCATTCTACGGGTTTTCCACTCGTTTTCCCCTTTACAGCCCCCGTGCCCCACAGCCAGGTTATCCGCCGCCGCCTCCTTTGGGGCTGCAATCCTTGTAGCGACTGCAGTTTGCGGTTTTTAACTTGTGACAGTTTTAAGTGGCTGCCGTTTGTCTCTCCGGCTAGATTCATTCACATAAGTACCCCACCTATTCGTGTATACTATACATTTAAATACGTGTCCTCCGTCTGTGCGGGTGCTCCAAGGATTTGGCCAAATGTAATGCCTCTTATTTGGTGCTTATGCATAAATCGTTGGCCATAATGATGCTAAGTAAGCAGCTACGTTTCCCTGGCAAGCCAGCTAGTATAAGCTCTACGTATTTTGGCGCGATTAAATAAATCTTTATTCATGGAACGATTTATGAAATTAATTTTGTGGCTTCGTGGTGGAAAACTACAGATTTGGGTTGCTGGGAAATGCAAGGATTCGCTAGGTTCCTGGATACCTTTCATATTTATTTAAGGACTTAAAGCTATTCCCTTTTACTGGCCAGAAACTGGCACAGTTTCTGCTCTCCTGAATTTATCTCCCCAGTGTTTCATCACACCTCTTCATAACACCCCTGGCATCAGGAAAAATGTAAACTCTTAATAGCCTGAGAAGCACCTATTCCTCTGGTCAATGTATGTCCTTTTTGCAGCCACTACACCTAGGCCATACAGCACCACCTGACCCCACCCTTATCCTTCTCCGCTCATATCCTGCCGAACGCACTTAACTCTTGACAGCATCATAATCCATAGCACAGTTTCCTGTCGCTGCCAACAACCTTTCGCTTTTGTTGTTGCTCGTCCTGGGCGCAGAAATGGAGAACAAAAGGAAAACAATTTTCATGCGTGCATGGGAAAAATCAAAAGAAAAGGGGCAGGCCAGACAAACACACACACACACATCCAGAGCCGTCCAGAGCCCAAACAATGCCTATTTTGGTGAGATAAGAACGGAGAGACGTTGCGGCAACATCAGGAGCAGGCTGTTCTGCTTCAAAGCAATTTCCAAGTGGCCCCGTACACTCGGGTTCAGGTACCATATACCATATAGGCATAGGCTCCGAGTACCTGAAAAAAGGCACCGGCACAGCCGAGGTCGCTGCCTCGGATCAGGACCCAAAAACCAGCGACTCACTTCACTCAT